AGAGAGCTCTCACATTCCCTTTGAGATATCTCTTCTCCATGTGATCCCCTCATTTCTTTGACAACTTTTCCTATATTCCTTCCTGTTTTTCTAACTAAGTGATTTATGATTCTGGCTCTTTTCCACAAAATCACCACCCAAAAATTTTCACTGAGTGCCTATTATGTACAAGGAAGGGCCTATGTTAGAGAAAGGTCCTTGGCTTCCGGTTGCTTAGTTTTATATTTGTTATTTTTTTTGAGACAGAGTCTCGCTCTGTTACCCAGGCTAGAATGCAGTGGTGTGATCTCAGCTCACTGCAACCTCTGCCCCCTGGGTTCAAGCGATTTTCCCACCTCAGCCTCCTTAGTAGCTGGGACTACAGGAACACACTACCATGACTGGCTAATTTTTGTATTTTTTGTAGAGATGGGGTTTCACCATGTTGGCCAGGTTGGTCTCGAACTCCTGACTGCAAGTGATTGGCCTGCCTCTGCCTCCTAAAGTGTTGGGATTATAGGTGTGAACCACTGTGCCCGGCCAGCTTCTGGTTGCTTATAATGGAGAGGGAGAAAAGACTGATATCAACAGGGAAGAATCGGGGAGAGGGTTTCCTGGTTTATCCACTGTCTCTGAACTGCAATTTCTGTTTTCACCTTTTTTTTTTTTTTTGAGACAGAGTCTAGCTCCGTTGCCAGACTGGAGTGCAGTGGCACGATCTTGGCTTACTGCAATCTCTACCTTCTGGGTTCAAACAATTCTCCTGCCTCAGCCTCCCTAGTAGCTGAGATTACAGGTGCATGCCACCACACTTGGCTAATTTTTGTATTTTTAGTAGAGATGGGTTTTCACCATGTTGGTCAGGATGGTCTCGATCTCCTGACCTCGTGATCCACCCGCATCAGCCATCCAAAGTGCTGGGATTGTAGGCGTGAGCCACCGCCTGACCTCTGTTCTCGCTTTTAACTGTCAGTATAGGGGCCACATTTAAGACTGTCCTTCCGTATTACAGCTTAATCAGTGAGGAACATCATGCAAATCAAAATAGAAAGGAAAAATTAAAGCAAACACCAGTCAAACATTTTTTAAAATTCTGAAATAATGTAAATTTTAAATATACTGTAAATCCTTTTATAAGACAATACAGACTCATTTTCCTAATCATGCCCTTAATGAAAATAATAAGCAAGTGCCAGTCTTCCTTAAAATATGGCAATATGAACTAGAAAACTCATTGGGCCCTTCTTTAGGCTTTGTAAACATGTTACAAAAGCAGTCAGTCATTTGGCTTGGTCTGCAGAATGTCAGACAATCCATAAGTTTTTTTTCCCTTTACTTGAATAAAACATATTTTTGACTGAATTGACTATTTAGGTTTCTTGTAGACACAGTCTTAGTAAAGAAAACTTTAAAAATTGCTTTTGGAGAAGAAAATTGTAGCTAGTTATAGCTTATAAAACCATTCTTGTGTTCATTTTCTTGAGGAAATTGCTATAAGTGTATCTTCTAGGCCAATATGTAAGAGACCTTTTTATGATTAAATAAAAGCTCAGAGATTTTTGGTATCAGAGTTGTTTTATTGACTTGCCTTAGTTCTAAAAATAAAATGAAAACCTTTAGCCAAAGGAAGGCTCATGTGTTAGTTAAATACTGACATGATTTGAACTTATTTTATTTACTTATATTATGTCCGATTCCTATGTATGTCCAATCTTTGGAGACACAAAGAACCATTATTGTGTTAGAAGATTCTTTGGTTTTGTAATACATATTTTTATATCTAAAGTCCTGTTTAAAGATAATTACATGGTTCTATAGAAAAAGAGCTATTAATCTTTGTGTTTACATAAGTTTGCAATACTTGATTAATTTTAAGCCTCTAAAATATGAGTGACATCATTTGTCCTGTGAGATAGTAGATTTGTTTTAGTAACAAATCTTTCAGATCAATTCGTAAATGAGAAAGAAATAAATGTGAGTAAACATTTGTTCTATCTTGGTTTTTGTTTAAGCTAAAATAATTAGAATTCAGCCGGGCAAAAAGAAGTTAAATTTGAAATCTAATTCTTGTCAAGAAATTTTGCATGCAGCTATTCAACCTATTGTTTTAGAATTGCTGTGGTGAGAAAGTAGAACATTACTTTGGCAAATGCAGGGCTTGGTAGACTGGAGAGCAAAAATGAAACTTCTCAGTGAGTAATAGAAAAAATTCCTGTGCTTTATGACTATAGCTACCGAGTACTTCTAAGGCAACTGATAAATCAGAAGGCTGGAGCGAGAAAGTACTCAGAAGTCTATGACAATGTCAGTGATACAATAATGACTTATTGAAAAATTGATGAAAATTAAAGGAAATGCTTTCTGAACAAAGCTAAGAAAAGAATAGCTGTTTTTAGATCTCCCAAAATCTATCTTAAAATGAAAATTTTAATATTTAAAGATTCTGTTGAAAATTCGTGAATATATATATATTTGTAAACCTTGAAGGATATGGTAAGTATGCTTTTAGGAGTACAGTTTATCATGAAGGAACTCAACTGCAGTTAAATAAAACTGTACGTTACAAATGCTTCTTACAGTTTCTTATAAAAAGTACCATAAAGTCAGTATTCTTAATGTATGCAAAAAATGATGTTTTACACATCTGACATGGGACTTCTCTACACCTGCAGAGAGAAAGCACTATTTTTCCCAGACAGAAAGCCTATTATTTGCAGATCTACTCCACTGCTCTGAGTCATTGATGGTTATAGGTTTTATACTTAACCTGAAATGCAAAACATTTTCTTCTAGGTCTGAAGTTAAATCATTTTGCAAAGTGATACGGCTACATTCTGAATTTTCTTTGTCTTGCTACATATTCTTGAAAAACCAGGTTAAGTGTTTATAAGAGGGGTGTGTGTGTGTGTGTGTGTGTGTGTGTGTGTGTGTGTGTGTTTTGAGTGGCATCAGTTGCATTCTTTTCTTCCTCTGCCTGTCTGGAGGGCACTTTTAATGTACCTGTCCCCATACTCTCCATTATAAGTTTTAATCACAATAGAAATTTTTTTTCCACCACTTTGATGAAAGGTCATATTTATTGGGCTGACTTATCTATTATTAAATTCTATTTAATAATCTTATAATACACTGTACACATTACCTGGGGTAAATGTAAGTACAGCATTTAGGATTTTAAAATCTATTCACAAATGAGATTGACCTCTAAATCCCCCTTTTGGGGAACACTGACCATGGTCAGATTTTGGTTATTCTAAGTGAATAAAATGAAGTGGGTGGCTTTGTATGCTCTGAAACCATTTATATGAGAATCGTCTGTTCAATAAAAGTAGGAGAGGACTGTGCTATGAAACTTCCTGAGTGAAATGATAAGTGGCATGAAGAAAAGTAAAGCAAGGTAAGGGGCGGAGAGCATGGGCTTGTTGTTTTAGATGATGTGGTTAGGAAAGCCTTTCAACTGAGCAGAAGGCACAGTGAAGCACGGGAGCAAACTGTGTGAATGTTTGAGGGAAAAGCATCCCAGGCAGAGGAAGCAGAAGGACAAAGCCTTGAGAAGGGAGTATACTTGGCATATTAGGGGAGCAGCAAGAGGCTACTGTATCTGAGAGAGAGGAGATATGAAAACTGAGAGGTAGTGAAGAGTCCATTTATTTGGGACCTTATAGACAAAATTCAAGAAAATTTGTCATTTCTGTTTCTTAATCTTGCTCTTTAATTATGTTTTTCTATCTTTTAGATTTGACTGCATGCTTAGTATATTTTTATCCTTTCTCCTCTGATTTTAATAAAGGTTTAAGAGTATAAATTTTCTTGTAAGTGCAGCTTTGCCTGCATTCTATTAAGCTTAATGGCCATAAGTCACATGGCTACCCCAATCTGAAAGAGAAGCCCGGAAATGTAGGATGTTAATGAGCATATTGCTGCCCCAAAGAAAATCAGAATTTTGTTTGTAAGAAAGAATGGGAGGACAACTTTTAGGTAAACTACTAGCAGTATCTTTTATAAAATCCTATGGGCCTGGCAGATTTTCCTGCCAATCACAATAGATAAGGATTGGATAAAAGTCAGCACAGCTTTCTGATTAGAAAACCAACTATTTCTTTAATGAAATAAATATATTTAATTTCCTATTCTAGTCAAGTTTATTCCAGTTCAAAGGATAACGGTATATTGCATATATCCCCAGCTTTATCAATCTATGACTACAAAATCTACTTTTAAAGACTATTTGAAATGCTATAGCATAAAACTATAATAATGTGCTCCCAATTACTTCTGGAAGTTTCTCAAGGTACTCCTTTATATGTACCTCAGAGTGTATTTTTCTTCCTCCTCAAATGAGATCTTTCCAACTTGCCACTATGCAGCTGCCAATGGTCCTAGTTAAGTAAAATGCTGCCATACTTATTTTAGGCTCAGGGAAAAGTAGCACCCACTCATTTTTATTTTTGCTCAATATAAAAATGAGGATACTTATGAGGATACTTAAACTTTTAGAATTAGCTAGTTTTATAAAAAGTGAATTATTCACTCCTTTGTAAAGTATGTAATAGGAATTTGCTCTACTAATAAATAGATTAAGGTTTAAAATTTGAAACCATAGTAATGTATGTTTAACACCAATGTATTAAACCTTTTAAAAAACCAAAACCGACATTAAGAAATACATTTCATACTGTGATCAAGTACACACGCACACACACACTCTATACATACATATCTGTCTAATTAAAAGTTTCACAGAAATTTCCAAGGAGGTATGCTAAATATTCTATTATCTATTTGATTCTACTTTATTTTTAAAAAGTGATATCAACCCACAGAATGGATTTCATAACCCACTACTGCAGTTTGATAAGATGCTGTTTTAGACCATGCTTTTCAGCAGTTTTGTGGTCCTATTTTGTCCTTTTCATGTCTATACAGGATGCTTCTAGTGCTAGTTGCTAGCTTTTCTCTGATTTCCAGGATGGTGATAGGATAAGAATTTATCTAAATGGTGATTTCTTTTCTTTCTGCAGCTCTCACGTGTGAATATGTGTCTAGTGCATCCTTAACTTAAGGACTTCACCAGTTCGAAGTTACAGTTTTCACCATCAACTACCTTATCCTTTCTGTTCTGGTTTTCTTCCTCAAACAGTGGAAGGATTTTTAAAGTTGCTTTTGTTGCAGAGTTAAACAAATGGCTGATAGTGACTTATATAAAAAATCCATAGAATGCCCTTACTGTTCATCTGCTTCTCAGAAAGATGTACTTTGTGTGTGTTCCAGCAAAACAAGGGTTCCTCCAGTTTTAGTGGTGGAAATGTCGCAGACGTCAAGCATTGGTAGTGCAGAGTCTTTAATTTCACTGGAGAGAAAAAAAGAAAAAAGTACCAACAGAGACATAACCTCTGGAAAAGATTTGGTAAATATCAAAGATTCCACATCTAAGCACAAGTTGATATCCTGTTCCCTGATGGCACTCCTAGCTTCATCCATATCCCATGAGTTCTTGTTAGTTAATTCATTGCCTTCATTATTATTAAACATTTCTTTCTCACAGAAGAGGTGAGTAAATTTGGTTAGTAACTTGTTATATTATGTTTCCAGCCACTGCCCAAATTAATTATTTCTCAGGACACGAGGTAATTAAACATGTTATCCCCACTTCTTTTTTTAATGGTTTATGCAGAAATGAATTGGTTTTCAAGTTGAATTAAATCTGAATTTTTGAGTATTTTCTTCAGCTGATGAAGAATGAGATTTATGGTTGTGGTTAAGTAAAGGGTAGTTATGGCTTTGTTATTTAAGTCATGGTTGTCTCGGTGGAATATGAACTATACTTAACAAAATCAGTTTGCATTAGTTACAAATAATCTGTGGCTACCCAGTTGTACTGATTTCGATGTATTCATCTTTTTAAAAAAATTTTTTTGGGATAGACTTTTGCTCTTGTTGCCCAGGCTGGAATGCAATGGCATGATCTCAGCTCACCGCAACTTCTGCCTCCTGGGTTCAAGTGATTCTCCTACCTCAGCCTCCTGAGTAGCTGGGATTACAGGCATGTGCCACCATGTCCAGCTAATTTTTTGTATTTTTAGTAGAGAGGGGGGTTTCTCCATGTTGGTCAGGCTGGTCTCAAACTCCCGACCTCATGTGATCCACCCACCTCGGCCTCCCAAAGTGCTGGGATTACAGGCGTGAGCCACTGTGCCTGGCCATACTCATCTTTATATAGAATAGGCAGTGTGTAAGATTGTGGTTGATACAGCACAACTTTGGAGACAGAGAGCAATAAGCCTAAGAAAAGTCAGGTTCCCATTCCTCAAAATTGTACCTTCTTCATATATTCTCCCTTGACTGTTATTTCTGATTTGTGTTACCATATAGTTACTGCTATATGGATGTCTCAGAGTGAGTTGTTACTATGTTATTTTCACTCAAAGCATATTTTTGAGTGGCCAATAATTTATGTATAAGCTATTTGAGATGGTTGTGAAATTGTGAAAGGAGAGTGATTGAGAAAGCTATAAAGTTGCTTTCTTTGATTTCAGAGAATGACTAGGTAAACTTTGATGAATCTGCTGTGCTGGTTATCATGTAGACTTTCCTGGATTCAGGGGATTGGATTGAATAACTTCTTAAGGTCTCCTTTAACCTAATGAGCCAATGAATTGCGTAGAGCTTAGAATTTGAAAAAGACAGTAAACAATCTTGTGCATAGTAAACATGGCACACGTTAAGGAGTTACCAGATTATCTAAATTAGGATTCTTTGTCAACCAAGAATATTACATCTTAAAGTTGTTGTTTTTTTTATTAATTTTTTTTTGATTCCAGCCCTCAAGAACCTCAAATGTAGAGAGAAAAGCATCTCAACAACAGTGGGGTCGGGGCAACTTTATAGAAGGGAAAGTTCCTCACATAAGGATTGAGAATGGAGCTGCTATTGAGGTATATAGAAAGCAAATGAAGCTACTGTGAACTTTCAGGTTTCTTCTAAGTCAATGGTTAATGGAAAAAAATGATTTAAAAATAAATCTCTAAAGAAAGGAAGTAAAGAGGAAACATACCATTTTCAAGTATGGTAACATTTTTACTAAAGAAAATACAGATTAATTATTTTCTGTTTATGGAGGACCAAGTGGATTTTAATTAAAGTAGAGAACATTTTCATTAGATAAAATGAGGATAGTTTCATCTTCAGGTCTTGGCCATTGCTGAAAACAATAGTGGAGTCTTTGTTTAGACCTTTTCATGATGCAGAAAAGGACTAGATGATTTTAGTTAGTTTGGCTGTTCACTTCCTTGATAGTGAGGCCAGAATCTCCCTCATGACTTCCTCCATCTTTTCCATCCCGCGATTGGATAAATACCAATATTATTTTTCCAGGATTCAAATTATTATATAAAATATGAATTAAATATTAGAATAATAAAAAATTAAAATGTGTGTTTTTACATTAAAGAAACTGCAGTAAGAACAACCACAAAAAGAAGAAAATTGCATTAATGTTACTATTTAAATTGCTTTGGGGCACCACAAATTGCACCCATTTAAGATGGTATACTTAATAAATGTTTATGTTCTGATTGCTCAGCTGACTGACCACTCTTCATCTCTCTCCCTCTCCTTTGGCCTCCCTAGTGCCTGATACACAAAAATATTGAAATTAGGCCAATTATTAATCCTACAGTGGTCACGTGAAAGGGAGAGTTGCATGTCTTTCTCTTTAAATCAAAAGCTAGAAATGATCAAGCCTGATGTCAAAACTTATTTTAAAAGATATTTGGCAACTTACATGAAGTGCTTAGAAAAGCTGCCTGGCCTGAGAAACTCTGACTTGAAAAGTTTAAATTTCTCCCCTTTAATTAAAGGCCTGTACTTACAACACACACAGACAAGTTTACCAAGTTTTAAATTTAGTCTTGGGCCAGGCGTGATGATTCATGCCTGTTATCCCAGCATTTTGAAAGGCTGAGGATGGAGGATCACTTGAGACCAAGAGTTTGAGACCAGACTGGGCAACACAGCAAAACTCCTTCTCTACAAAATTTTTTTAAAAAATTAGCAGGGTATAGTGGCATGCAACTGTAGTCCTGGCTGCTGCGGGGATGCTGAGATGTGAGTATCACTTGAGCCCAGAAGTTTGAAGCTGCAGTGAGCTATGATCATACTGCTGCATTCTAGCCTGGGTGACAGAGTGAGACCTTGTCTCCAAAAACAATAAAATAAAGAAATAACAAATTTAGTCTTAAGAGCTTTTATAAAAGCAAAATGTGTTCATTGTGAAAAATTAGGCAAATAGAAGTGTGGAGAAAATAAAAATCATCAACCAAATATAACCAATTTAAAAATTATTACCTTCACTTTTTCTATGCATGTACTAGTTTTGTTTTATTTTTCTTTAACATTTTTCCTGTTTTAAATTAGGGGATATTTCAAATATATATACGTATTTTAAAGAAGTAACCTTAACCTGGTGTAGCTGAAGTTGAAGCTTCTATTCCCCCATAAAATAGGCTCATTTTAAATATTTTAAACATTTCAGAAGAGTATAAAGAAGGAAATTACAAGCATCCACAATTCTATTACCCTTACATAACTACTTTTAATATTTAGATGAACATTTTCCCAGATATCCATGTAAGCACCTCCGCATACATACATTTTCATCATGAAATCATATCTTATATGCTTTTCACACTGTACACTATGTCATGGACTTCTTCTGTGTCAATAAAAGTAGATCTACATTATCATTTTAATAACATCCTTACACAATTATTAGAAATAATAAACTATTTTCTCCTTCATCACCATGTGTTAATATCAAAGCAGTTAGTTGAACAAAGTGATTAGTTTATAAAAAACTAGTTGGCCATTTCTCATTTTAGAATTCCTATTTAAGCAGTATTGAAGTACTGTCTTCAAATTGTGGTTCCATTTAGAGAGAAAATGAAAGTTTAACTTTTAAAGGACAAGAAAAATTGGGGAAATGGTTATGAAGAGATTATTTTGTAAATGCGAAAAGGGTAAATGACCATTTTAGTTGAGATTTAACTCACTTTATAAGATATAGGCATACTTCATCATATTGTGCTTTGATTTATTGCACTCTGCAGATCTTGCATCTTTTACAAATTTGAAGGTTTGGCAACTGTGTCAAGCAAGTCTGTTGGTGCCATTTTTCCAACAGCATATGCTCATTTTGTGCCTTTGTGTCACATTTTGGTAATTCTCACAGTATTTCAAACTTTTTCTTCATTATTGTATCTATTGTGATCTCTGATCCGTGATTTTTGATGTTACTATTGTACTTGTTTGGGGGTGTCACAAATTGCACCCATATAAGTTGGCACACTTAATAAGTGTTGTGTGCATTCTGATTGCTCCAGTGACTGACCATTCTTCCATCTCTCTCCCTCTCCTTGGCCCTTCCTAGTCCCTGAGAGACAATATTAAAGTCAGGACAATTAATAACCCGATAGTGTTTCAAGCGAAAGGAAGAGTTACATGTCTTTTGCTTTAAATCAAAAGCCAGAAATGATTAAGCCTAATGAGGAGGGCATGTTGAAGGCCAAGATAGGCTAAAAGCTAGGCCTCTTGCACCAGTTAACCAAGTTTTTAATGCAAAAGAAAAGTTGTTGAATAAAATTAAAGGTGCTATTCCAGTGAACACATGACTGATAAGCAAAACAGCTTTGTTGCTGATATGGAGAAAGTTTGAGTGATTTGGAAGATGATCAAACCAAGCACAACATTCGCTTAAGCCAAAGCCTAATCCAGAGCAAGGCCCTAACTCTTTTCAGTTTTTTGAAGGGGAGGGAAGTGAGGATGTTGTAGGAGAAAAACTTGAAGCTAGCACATATTGGTTCAGGAGGTTTAAGGAAAGTCACTGTCTCTATAACATACAAGTGCAAGGTGGAAGCAGCCAGTGCTGATGTAGACGCTGCAGCAAGTTATCCAGAAGATCTAGCTAAGACCATTGATAGAAGGTGGCTACACTAAACAACTGATTTAAGCCTTATATGGGAAGAAAATGCTAACTAATCCTTTCATAGCTAGAGAAGAGAAATCAATGTTTGGCTTCACAGCCCCAAAGGATAGGCTAACTCTCCTGTTAGTGGCTAATGAAGCTGGTGACTTTAAGTTGAAGCCAGTGCTCATTTACCATTTTGAAATTCCTAGGGCCTTAAGAATTTATGCTAAATTTACTCTGTCTATGCTCTTTAAATAGAACAACAAAGCCTGAATGATAGCACCTTTGCTTATAGCATGATTTACTGAAATTTTAAGCCCACACTTGAGACCTACTGCTCAGAAAAAAAGTCTCCTTTCCAAATATTACTGCTCATTGACAATGCACCTGGTCACCCAAAAGCTCTAATGGAGATGTACAAGATGGATGTTGTTTTCATGCCTGCTAACACAACATTCATTCTGTAGCCCATGGATCAAAGTCATTTCCGTTTTGTAGCCTTATTATTTAAGAGATAAATTTCATAAGGTTATATCTGCTACAGATAGTGATGGATCTGAGCAGATTAAGTTGAAAATCTTTTGGAAAGGATTCATCATGCTAGAAGTCATTAAGAACGTTTGTGATTCATGAGAGAAGGTCAAAATATCAACATTAATGGAGTCTGGTAAACATTGATTCCCACCCTCATGGATGACTGAAGGGTTCAAGTCTTAAGTGGATAAAGTAACTATAGATATAATGGAAACAACAAGAGAACTAGAAGTGGAGCCTGAAGATGGGACTGACTTTTTGCAGTCTTATGATAAAACATGAATGAGTGAAGAATTGCTTCTTATGGATGAGCAAAGAAAGTGATTTCTTGAGATGGAATATACTCCGGGTGAAGATGCTGTGAACATTTTTGAAATGACAACAAAATTTAAAATATTACATAAACATAGTTGATAAAGCAGTGGCGGGGTTTGAGAGCACTCGTTTCAGTTTTGAAAGAAGTTCTGCTGTGAATAAAATGCTATCAAGCAGCATCACATGCTACAGAGAAATATTTTATGAAAGGAAGAGTCAGTTGATGCACCAAACTTCGTGGTTGTCTTATTTTTAGAAATTGCCACAGCCATTCCAGTCTTCAACCATCACTACCCTAATCAGTCATCGGTCATCTACATGGAGGCAGGACCCTCCATCAGCAAAAAGATTACAACTGCATTGTTATGTTTGTTAGCATTTTTTTTGCAATACAGCATTTTAACATTTTGTGTACATTTTTAGACATAATGCTATTGCAGTTAATAGATTATAATATAGTGTAAACATAACTTTTATATGCTTTATTGAAATTTTTGCTTTATGGTGGTGGTCTGGAACTGAATACACAATATCTCTGAGGTATCTCTGTATATAATTGAGAGTTGCATATAAATATAAAAATAAAATTATGTTTTGTACTATTTTATAATTATCTAAGTTTTCTGACTTTAATTCTATCATGTGCTATTAAGTGGTATCAAGGAAGAGAGAGGAGTTAGGTTTTTTTAAGAGATACAAAAGAAACAGCTCCTTTAGGAGCTTTTAGACTGTCTTGGAAGAAAAGAAATGAGCCAAAACGTTTGTAAACAAAAAAGCAATAATATTGTTTGAGGACCAATACATAAATGGTGATAGGAGTAAAAATAACAGAACAGACACAATTGTGTGAAACAAGGAAACCCTTCATGAAGGAGGTGAGTAATTAGTTGGGCATTGAATTTTCTGTTACAAAAGAAAGGAATGTATGCATTAGAAAATACAAAGACAAGCCTCTCATTTACCTGTTGCATGGTGATATGGTTTGGTTTTGTGTCCCCACCCAAATCTCATCTTGTAGCTCCCATAATTCCCACTTCTTATGGGAGGGACCCTGTGGGAGATGATTGAATCATGGGGGCAGGTTTTTCTCGTGTTGTTCTCATGATAGTGACTGGATCTCATAAAATCTGATGGTTTTAAAAATGGGAGTTTCTCTGCACAGACCCTCTCTTTGCCTGCTTCCATCCATGTAAGACGTGACTTGCTCCTCCTTGCCTTCTGCCATGATTGTCAGGCCTCCCCAGCCATGTGGAACTCTAAGTCCAATGAACCTTTTTATTTTGTAAATTGCCCAGTCTCGAGTATGTCTTTATCAGCAGTGTGAAAATGGACAAATACAGTAAATTAGTACCAGGAGTAGAGTGCTGCCAAAAATATACCCAGAAATGTAGAAGTGACTTTTTTTTTTTTTGAGATGGAGTGTTGCTCTGTCACCAGGCTGGAGTGCAGTGGTGCAGTCTCAGCTCACTGCAACCTTCCCCTCCTGGGTTCAAGCTATTCTCATGCTTCAGCCTCCCGAGTAGCTGGGATTACAGGCACAGGCCACCACACCCAGCTAATTTTTGTATTTTTAGTAGAGACGGGGTTTCACCATGTTGGCCAGGATGGTCTAGATCTCCTGACCTCATAATCTGCCCGCCTCGGCCTCCCAAATACTGGGATTACAGGCATGAGCCACCGCACCAGGCCGGAAGTGACTTTGGAACTGGGTAACAGGCAGAGGTTGGAACAATTTGGAGGGCTCAGAACAAGACAGGAAAATGTGGGACAGTTTGGAACTCCCTGGAGACTTGTTGAATGTCTTTGACCAAAATGCTGATAATGATATGGACGATGAAATTCAGGCTGAGGTGGTTTCAGATGGAGATGAGGAACTTGTTGGGAACTGGAGTAAAGGTGACTCTTGTTATGTTTTATTAAAGTGACTGGCAGCATTTTGCACCTGCCTTAGAGATTTGTGGAACTTTAAACTTGAGAGAGATGATTTAGGGTATCAGATGGAAGAACTTTCTAAGCAGCAGAGCATTGTAGAGGTAAGCTGGGTGCTGTTAAAGGCATTCAGTTTTATAAGAGGAGCAGAGCATAAAAATTTAGAAAACTTGCAGCCTGCGATAGAAAATGCAATAGAAAAGAAAATCCCATTTTCTGAGGAGAAATTCAAGCTGGCTGCAGAAATTTGCATAAGTAACCAGAGCCAAATGTTAATCTCCAAGACAATGAGAAAAATGTCTCCAGGGCATGTCAGAGGTCTTCACAGCAGCCCCTCCCATTACCCAGAGTACTAGGAGGAAAAAGTGGTTTCATGGGCTGGGCCCAGGATTCCCATGCTGTTTGCAGCCTAGGGACTTGGTGCCCTGCATCCTAGCCACTCCAGCCATGGCTGAAAGGGCCCAACATAGAACTTGGGCTGTGGCCTCAGAGGCTGCAAGCCTCAAGCCTTGGCTGCTTTCATGTGGTGTTGAGTCTGCAAGTGCACAGAAGTCAAGAATTAGGGTTTGGGAACCTCCACCTGGATTTCAGAAGATATATGGAAATGCCCAGGCAGAAGTTTGCCACAAGAGCAGGATCCTCAGGGAGAACCTCTTCTAGGGAAGTGCAGAAGGGAAATATGGGGTGGGAGCCCCCACACAGATTCCCTACTGGGGCACTGCCTAGTGGAGCTGTGAGAAGAGGGCCACCATTCTCCAGACCCCAGAATAGTAGATCCACCGACAGCTTGCACCATGCACCTGGAAAGGCCACAGACACTCAATGTCAGCCTGTGAAAGCAGCCAGGAGGGAGGCTGTACCCTGCAAAGCTACAGGGACAGAGCTGCCCAAGACTATGGGAACCTACCTCTTGCTTCAGTGTGACCTGGATATGAGACATGGAGTCAAAGGAGATCATTTTGGAGCTTTAAGATTTGACTGCCCCACTGGATTTCGGACTTGCATGGGGCCTGTAGCCTTTTTGTTTTGGCCAATTTCTCCCATTTGTAATGCCTATTATTTACCCAATGCCTATACCCCCATTGTATCTAGGAAGTAACTAACTTGCTTTTGATTTTACAGGCTCATAGGCAGAAGGGACTTACCTTGTCTTAGATTTGGACTTTTGAGTTAATGCTGAAATGAGTTGAGACTTTGGGGGACTGTTGGGAAGGCATGATTGGTTTTGAAATGTGAAGTTATGAGATTTGGGAAGGGCCAGAGTTGGAATGATATGGTTTGGCTCTGTGTCCCCACCCAAATTTCATCTTGTAGCTCCCATAATTCCCATGTGTCATGGGAGGGAACCAGTGGGAGATGATTGAATCACGGGGGTGGGTCTTTTCCATGTTGTTCTCATGATAGTGAATGGATCTCATGAGATCTGATGGTTTTAAAAACGGGAGTTTCTGTGTACAAGCCCTCTCTTTGCCTGCTTCCATCCATGTAAGATGTGACTTGCTCCTCCTTGCCTTCTGCCATGATTGTGAAGCCTCCCCAGTCATGTGGAACTGTAAGTTATCTTTCTTTTGTAAATTGCCCGGTGTCGGATATGTCTTTATCAGCATTATGAAAACGGACTAATACACATGGTGAATGTGAAAGTGATCACACAGAGAGAGAGAGAGTGGCATTTTGAGAGTGGCATTTCTATGGAAGGCTTTGACTAGCTGATCCAACCAGGGCATTACCTAGTGGCATTAGTTCAGCTGCTCCCCCATGTTCTGGTTCCTATGCATGATGGGTCCAGAAACTCTTGTTAATTCCCTGGATTTGATTTGAATCGGGGAGACTGACTCCCCCAAAACCAAATTTACAAGAAATGAAAGAGTAAATGAGTTAGCTGTTCATTATTTACAATGCAAACCAAAATGGTGGTGTTGGCAAAACCAATGTATTCTTTCTTTGTAGGTAGAAGTTAAATGATAAGAGGATGGATTCTTGGTTTGGATGATGGTTTCATGAGTAGTGGTTATTTTTTTTCTCAGTGCTGATCTGTGTTGAAATTTTTGTCACATACTGCTTTTTCTAAAGCAAAAGGAATAAAACAAAAGTGATTTTTAATAAGATAAAGGAAAAGCATTAGTTTTTAAATAAGGAAACATTTGTTCAGTAGTTACTATGTGTTGATTTTGTAGTATAGCTCTCAGAGATTCGGAATTTTTTGGCATGAGTGTATTTTATATCTGCACATACTTATGTATATATATTAGTACTCCATTTCTCCTTTTTCTTATGAAGATATTTCATTAATATATTATAGTTTGAAAGAGATTCATTTTTATACTTTTGAGTTTTTCCACATTTCACCATTAGGATTTTTGTGGTTTTCTTCCAAAGGACACTTAATAAAATTCATCAACACTTATTTTTGGTTAAGATGTGTTTATTAATATTGGGGAAAATATGTAGTGTCTTCTATTTGATTTTAACTTGGAGCAGAATCTCTTTTCCCTTGGGTGAGTATCTGTCAGTATTATATGTTCCTTTTTCTTTTTTTTTTTTGGAGGCAGAGTCTCGCTCTGTCACCCAGGCTGGAGTGCAGTGGCGCCATCTCGGCTCACTGCAAGCTCCGCCTCCCAGGTTCTTGCCATTCTCCTGCCTCAGCCTCCCGAGTAGCTGGGATTACAGGCGCCCGCAACCACGCCCGGCTAATTATTTGTATTTTTAGTAGAGATGGGGTTTCACCGCTTTAGCCAGGATGGTCTCGATCTCCTGACCTCGTGATCTGCCCGTCTCGGCCTCCCAAAGTGCTGGGATTACAGGCGTGAGCCACCGCGCCCGGCCGTTCATTTTTAATAGCTGTTGAATGGCATAGAGAGGCAAAGAACTCTTTTTTTTTTTTTTCCTCCAGGAAATCTATACCTTTGGAAGAATATTGGGAAAAGGGAGCTTTGGAATGGTCATTGAAGCGACAGACAAGGAAACAGAAACGAAGTGGGCAATTAAAAAAGTGAACAAAGAAAAGGTAAGGCTCATAAGCAGCATCCTACTGAGGGCACAGTGTTAGTGCAGGGTGGGTGTGGGCAGTACAGCTTTTCACACTAACACAAGCTGCCTCTCACCCCGAGGTCCCAGCCTGGGCTGATCCCCTAGAGAAGCATGGCATTTCTCTAGCCTCCTGGAAAGGGACTAGTTTCTGAACTCAAGTAGGCAAGTGCTGCCTGGAAAAAACAAATGGAAGGAATAATATAACCAATATAACAAAAAATAGGTAAATTTTACCAGAGTATGCTGAAGATAAAGGCTGGTTCTCAGTATCTGTAGGCACAGGGCTGTGGGCTAGAGATATCTTAGCTAGAAGTGCTGATACTCTGTCCTGATGTTGTTTTGATATACTTTTCTCCTATCCTCTCCTTTCATTTCCTCACTGTTAGCTAATTCTGTTTGTTCATCCTGCCTGCTCTTTCACGTTGAATCACTTTTTGCTTCAACTATCTACGTTATGCTCTTTTATCTGCCACACTCCTCACTAGATTTCCTCTCGAACTGGGAAACGACTGGGCTTCTCTTGATGATAAAGTCTGAGACCTCAGACTTGACACCTGATCATTTCATCAACCTTTTGCATTTCTGTGCCTGGGAAAAACCAAACAACATTATGGTGTTTTCCCCTAGGATTTGTGATGATAAATATCACATTTAAAAAACAAAATGGTAGGTTTTATATATTATTTAAAACAAACTGTAGCAAATTACGTACCACTTCTCCCTAATGTTTAGTAAGGTAACATATCAATCTTAATTAAGGGATTAAGAGCCTTTCTAGAAAATTTTAGAATTCTTTAGAACCATAGGTAGCATCCTAAGTGCTACCTGAGATGTTATTTCCTTTGCTTCTTTGGTGTTAGGTAGGGTTAGGGGTTCAGTTTTTGGGTTATGTAACTATCATGCCTACTTGCAACTTTAGGAATTAATAATCTTTCATATTCGTATTTATGTTGAGAGTTTGTGAGACCGTAAGACAGTAAGATAAAACTATATAGTCAGTATATGAAGTGAATAGTGTAATATTGTGTTATATTCAGGTCAAGCCATTTGGGAAGGGGAGAGAAACAGAATCGAGATGGATATTAGGAGAAATTGGGGTAACTTTCCATATCTAGTCTAGACAAAAATTCACTCCTCACAGTCACTATTTCTCTTGATCCTTTAGGTCGAGGGTCCCCAGCCCCCAGGTCTTGGACTGGTACCTGTTCATGGCCTGTTAGGAACCAGGCTCCACACCAGGAGGTGAGCAGCAGGCGAGTGAGCATCACCACCTGAGCTCTGCCTCCTGTCATATCAGTGGTGGCATTAGATTCTCATAGGAGCACAAACTCTACTGTGAACTGTATATGTGAGGGATCTATGTTGTATGCTCCTTATGAGAATCCAACTAATGCCTGATGCTCAGAGGTAGAACAGTTTCACTCTGAAACCATGCCCTCTCCCGCAACCCTGGTTCATGGAAAAATTGTCTTCCATGAAATCAGTCCCTAGTACCAAAAAGGTCAGGGACTGCTGTTCTAGGTTAACCTATAAATGTGACTTAATCCTTGGGCGGGGCATAGTATGATGGGCAGTGTCCCACCCACTCCTGAGATGCTAAAGGTTGAGAAGGAGAGGTAATTGGAAGCTGGAATGACACTAAGTAAAATTTTAATTAGGCAAAATTTGCCTTATGACTAATCCGTTTCCACTCCCTTAAGAACCGTTATATATTTTCCCAAATCAGGTGGATGGGAGGTGGAGGAATAGGACCTTTGTTATTCCTTGCAGGGAGACTTTTTATTGGAAATTGTCAGGCCTAAAACTTCCACCTATCAATTTCTTCTTTACTATTCCTTGCACCCAACCCAGACTCTCTCTGCTTTCACCTGGACTGACCCTGACACCCATCAGTCCCAGCAGCTTACCTGGGCTGTGCTGCCGCAAGGTTTCAGGGACAGCCCTCATTCCTTAAGCCAAGCTCTTTCTCATGGTTTACTTTCTTTCCACCTCTCTGCTTCTCACCTTATTCAATATATTGATGACCTTCTTCTTTGTAGCCCCTCCTTTGAATCTTCTCAACAAGACACCCTTCTCTTCCTTCAGCATTTATTCTCCAAAGGATATCGGGTATCCCCCTCCAAAGCTCAAATTTCTTTTCCATCCGTTACCTACCTTGGCATAATTCTTCATAAAAACACACATGCTCTCCCTGCCAATTGTGTCCGACTGATCTCTCAAACCCCAACACCTTCTACAAAACAACAACTCCTTTCCTTCCTAGGCATGGTTGGATACTTTCGACTTTGGATACCTAGTTCTGCCATCCTAACAAAACCATTATATAAACTCACAAAAGGAAACGTAGCCGACACCACAGATCCTAAATCCATTCCCCACTCCTCTTTCCATTCCTTGAAGACAGCTTTAGAGACTGGCCCCACCCTAGCTCTCCCTGACTCATCCCAGCCCTTTTCATTACACACAGCCGAAGTGCAGGGCTGTGCAGTTGGAATTCTTACACAAGGACCAGGATCGCGTCCTGTAGCCTTTCTGTCCAAACAACTTGACCTTACTGTTTTAGGCTGGCCATCATGTCGCCGTGCAGCGGCTGCCACAGCTCTAATACTTTTAGAGGCCCTCAAAAATCACAGATTATGCTCAACTCACTCCCTACAGTTCTCATAACTTCCAAAATCTATTTTCCTCCTCATGCTTGACACATATACTTTCTGCCCCGCCAGCACCTTCAGCTATACTCACTCTTTGTTGAGTCTCCCACAATTACCATTGTTCCTAGCCCAGACTTCAATCCGGCCTTCCCCATTATTCCTGATACCACACCTGACCCCCATGACTGTGTCTCCCTGATACACCTGACATTCACCCCATTTCCCCATATTTTCTTCTTTCCTGTTCCTCACCCTTTTCACACTTGGTTTATTGATGGCAGTTCCACCAGGCCTAATCACCACACACCAGCAAAGGCAGGCTATGCTATAGTATCTTCCACATCTATCATTGAGGCTACTGCTCTGCCCCCCTCCACTACCTCTGAGCAAGCCGAACTCATTGCCTTAATTCGGGCCCTCACTCTTGTAAAGGGACTATGTGTCAATATTTATACTGACCCCGTATCCTGCACCACCATGCTGTTTTATGAGCTGAAAGGTTTCCTCGCTACACAAGGGTCCTCCATCATTAATGCCTCTTTAATAAAAACTGTTCTCAAGGCTGCTTTACTTCCAAGGGCAGCTGGAGTCATTCACTGCAAGGGCCATCAAAAGGCATCAGATCCCATCGCTCAGGGCAATGCTTATGCTGATAAGGTAGCTAGAGAAGCAGCTAGCATTCCAACTTCAGTCCCTCATGGTCAGTTTTTCTCCTTTTCATCGGTCACTCCCGCTTACTCTTCCACTGAAACTTCCACCTTTCAGTCTCTTCCCACACAAGGCAAATGGTTCTTGGACCAAGGAAAATATCTCCTTTCAGCCTCACAGGCCCATTCTATTCTATCGTCATTTCATAACCTCTTGCATGTAGGTTACAAGCTGCTAGCCTATCTCTTAGAACCTCTCATTTCCTTTCCATCGTGGAAATCTATCCTTAAGGAAATCACTTCTCGGTGTTCCATCTGCTATTCTACTACTCCTCAGGGATTGTTCAGGACCCCTCCCTTCCGTATACATCAAGCTCAGGTATTTGCCCCTGCCCAGGACTGGCAAATTGACTTTACTCACAATGCCTCGAGTCAGGAAACTAAAATACCTCTTGGTCTGGGTAGACACTTTCACTGGATGGGTAGAGGCCTTTCCCACAGGGTCTGAGAAAGCCACCATTCTGTCAGACGTAATTCCTCAGTTTGGCCTTCCCACCTCTATACAGTCCAATAATGGACCGGCCTTTATTAGTCAAAACATCCAAGCAGTTTCTCAGGCTCTTGGTATTTAGTGGCTCCTGATTTTACCTCAAACTGCCACCCTTAAGTCTCTCTTTAAGTGTATGGAAGATCTTCAGTGACAAAGTACACTCCAATACTTTGACCCTGATGAAGTCCTGTTCTTTACTTTTATACTCGCTCTTATTCTCATGCCACCCTCTAACCTCTCCCCAGCTATCTCCACCACACTATCAATCTCACTCTCTCCTAGCCGTTTCTAATCCTTCTTTAACAAACAATTGCTGGCTTTACATTTCTCTTTCATCCAAATTCGACAAGGCTCTGACTTTTTCACTAATTAAAAAAAAGGCGGGGGGGACTCTGTATATTTTTAAATGAAGAATGTTGTTTTTACCTAAATCAATCTGGCCTGGTATATGACAACATTAAAAAAAAACCTGAAGGATAGAGTCCAAATACTCACCAACCAAGTAAACAATAACATTGAATCCCCTTGGACACCCTCTAATTGGACATCCTGCGTACTCCCAATTCTTAGTCCTTTAATACCTATTTTTCTCCTTCTTTTATTTGGACCTTGTGTCTTTCATTTAGTTTCTCAATTCATACAAAACCATATCCAGGCCATCACCAATAATTCTATATGACAAATGCTCCTTCTAACAACCCCACAATATCACCCTTTACCCCAAAATCTTTCTTTAGTTGAATCTCTCACACTCTAGGTTCCCACACTGCCCCTAATCCCACTCGAAGAAGCCCTGAGAAACATTGCCCATTATCTCTCCACACCACCCCCAAAAATTTTCACTGCCCCAACACTTTACCACTATTTTGTTTTATTTTTCTTATTAATATAAGAAGACAGGAATGTCAGGCCTCTGCGCCCAAGCTAAGCCATCATATCCCCAGTGACCTGCATGTGTACATCCAGATGGCCTGAAGCAACTGAAGATCCACAAAAGTGAAAATAGCCTTAACTGATGACATTCCACCATTGTGATTTGTCTCTGCCCCACCCTAACTGATCAATGTACTTTGTAATCTCCCCCACCCTTAAGAAGGTTCTTTATAATCTCCCCCACCCTTGAGAATGTACTTTGTGAGATCCACCCCCTGCCCCCAAAACATTGCTCTTAACTTCACCGCCTATCCCAAAACCTCTAAGAACTAATGATAATCCCACCACCCTTTGCTGACTCTCTTTTCGGACTCAACCTGCCTGCACCCAGGTGAAATAAACAGCCATGTTGCTCACACAAAGCCAGTGTGGTGGTCTCTTCACACTGACACATGAGACAAATAAAACCCATAAATGAGGACAATGCTTATCCTCAAATAATGGCAATTTCAAGATCAATAGGGGTGATGATTTGGCAGGGCGATGTTGGTGAGGGTGGAGAAAGCCCTTCTAGAATTTCTGAGATAGAGGACATTGTAGATAATCGATTACCTACACCCCAAATGAAGTCCTTGTGCTCCTTGGAGTGTTACTGACTTTGCCTTTTGCTCTCTGCCTGGTGAGTGTTAGATGTTAGGAGACATCTAACATCTGAAGGCAAGATCTCTCTCTCTTTGTATCTCTGTCTCTCTTTGTCTGTCTCGCTCTCTCTCTTTCCATCTCTCTCTGTTTCTCCCTCAGTTAACCAGGCAGGCCAGGAAATAACACAGTGCAGAGCCAAGTGTAGAATCTCATTGCCTATTATTTTTTCATATATATGTATAATCAAATCAAAACAAGACAACAGCAAAACAAAATAAAAACTTTTTGTTTTTATCTTCCCCAATTTATGTCCTTGGAAGTAGATTTTGTTTTTATTATGCTAACATCAAGGGATCAACATATTTTTAAAGGAAATATCAAAAAGCATATTAAAAGTTGGAGTAATTTTAGTAGTTTTGTGAGGGGACAGATACCATGTTGTAGCTAAGTTATAGAAACAATTCAAGAAACAGATGTGGCTTGAGGCTAAATTATATGTAACTTAAAATTGGACAAAGGAAAGAAGGGGCATAATTTAATCTGATCATGGGAATAAATGGCATATCATTTGAAAAAGAAACATCTCAAAAAATGTATGAATTCACTTCAAATATGAAGTTGTAGGAAAAGAAGTAGGAAAACATAAAATAACAAACTTTTCTGTCGAGGAATGTAGGAGTGATTTTCATTATGTGAAATCTGTGTTTCTTCATTGATTAAGGCTGGAAGCTCTGCTGTGAAGTTACTTGAACGAGAGGTGAACATTCTGAAAAGTGTAAAACATGAACACATCATACATCTGGAACAAGTATTTGAAACGCCAAAGGTAAAGCTCTATTAGGTGCTGCATTTTGAAAGTTGTTATTATTACAAAATGAATACCATTCCATTCTGAAGTAATCCCTTTGGGGCACCGTTGCTCATGTCCTTGGCATGAATCTGTCATTGGAGATTGATGAGAACATTCTGGAGGACTTTTATTATTGATTGTATAATTAGATGTCTGATGATTAGATTGATGTCTTCAGTAATATGTTTTGGGTGGCATGTTGAAAACAAATGTTTAAAATTACAACAACTTCATACACAACCAAACAGTGATTAAAACTTTCTTAGAGGTACCTTTCCTTTTGCTTTGATCCTTAGTTTCTCCATTAAAGTTTATTGGAATAGTTTCAGAATTTTGCAAAGTTAACTACATAATCAAATTGGTATGAGTATATTTTTCACTATAGTTTGTAGGAGATATTTTTTTCACCTATGTCTTACTAATGTGTTTTATCTTCATATTTCCCTAGATGTTATCATTCTCTTTACCTGTAATTTTTATTTAGAGTTGTTCAGAAGCCTGGATTATTCGCCATTCTGCCTCCAGATTGTTTAATGCTTGTGGGCTTGGGTGTTTCCTCTTAGAAGAGTAATAATGTATGGATTAGGCGTAAGAACTCTGGAATCATATTGCCTGTGCATTTGAATCCTGTCTCCACCACTTCTTAGTTATCCATGAGAACATGGACAAGTTATTCAACTTGCCCATATCACAGTTCCCTCGTCTCATTAAATGGTAGCTATTGTTCTCTGTCTCCTAGGCCAGTCTCTAAGGTAGTAATAGTCAATTTGGGTTGTACATTATGCTTGATTCATTAGGGGTGCTTGATAACAATTAAAGACCACAGTTATCCTTTATGAGAGCAGTATATGGCAATGATGCCCAAAGTCTCTGCCCTTTTCAGTCTTAGAGTTGTGATTTCTTTTATCCCCAAATCTTCTTAGAATAGTTGTATTCATTATCATCAGTTTTAAGCCATTTGATTATAATGTGCCTTGATCATTTTCTTCATGTTTTTGTGTGTGTGTGTGTGTTTGGGGTTCAGGTATCTGTGAGTTTATGGTTTTCATCAAATTTAGGAAATTGGGGGCTACTATTTCCTCACATTTGTATTTGCCTTCCCCTCACCCCACTTTGTGGTCTCCAAGCTAGATTGCTTGATATTGTCCACAGTTCACTGATGCTCTGTTCATTTTTTAAAACATTTTTTATCTCCTTGTTTCATTTTGTATAGTTTCTGTTGTTGTCTTCAAATTCAGTAATCTCTCTCTGTGTAGCGTTGTCTGTGTCGTTAATCTCTTCCAGTGGAAATACGATTTGGTTTTTAATATATATATATATTCCATGTGTCTACTTCACATGCTCAGTCTTCTTGAATAGAGTTATAATAACTATTTTCATGTCCTTTTCTACTAATTTTATCATGGGTGTCATTTCTAGGTCAGTTTCAATTTATTGGTTTTTTTTTTCCCCCTTCATTATGGGTTCTACTTTCCTGCTGCTTTATATGCCTATTAATTTTTGGCCAGATGCCAGATGTTGTGAATTTTACCTTGTTAGATGCTAGATATTTTAATATTCTAATGATTATTCTTAAGCTTTATTCTAGGATATAGTTAAGTCACTTGGAAACAGTTTGATACTTTTTGAAGCTTGCTTTAAGATTCGTTAGGTGGCACCAAAGCAACCTTTAGGAATAATTTTTTCCTGTTACTGAGGGGCTCTCCCCAGTGCTCCATGCATTACGAGGTTTACCTCCGGCTCGTGGGAGCACAACAGTTCCTGGCTGTGTGTAAGCTCCAGTGATTGTTCCCTCTGTCCCTTTTGCATATTTTCCCCCCAGCTTTGGGTAGTTTCCTCATACACATGTGTTGATTCATACTCTCCTGAAGAATTGAGGGGGTCCTCTGCAAATCTCTGGAGATTTCTCTCTGTACAGCATTCTCCTCTTTGATGCTCTATCCTGTGAACTTTAGTTGTCTTGGCCTTCCTGGACTTCCGGCCCCGTGCCCTCTACTCATGGAGACTGCTAGACTCTGCTTGGATTCCCTCTCCCTGTTCTGTGGTCCGGAAACTCTCTAGACAGCAAGCTAGAATAATCATGGGGACTGCCTCATGTGTTTTCTCTCTCTCAGGAATAACTACCCTATGCTGGCTGATGTTTAATGTCTAAAAATTAGTTTTATATATTTGCCCAGTTCTTAAGTTGTTTCAGGTGGGAAGATAAGTCTGGTCTTTGTTACTCCATTATGAACACAAGCGGGAGTCTAAATCTAGAATAAGTTTGAAGGCAGAGGAAACCATCGTTTGTGATTTTTCCAGTGCATTGCTTTCCAAACTTAATTCACATAGGTCAGGTCTGACCCCTTCTGCCTCATAAACACACACAAGCATGTAGACCTTCTATTGAAGCCATCTGAAGTACTAATAGAAATTGCCACCTGATTGGTTGTGCCATGGTACGGATCATCCAGCCTGACTATGCTATGGTTTCTTGTGAGTCTAAATGTTCTCCAGGTCTACACAATTGTTTCTAATAATTATAAAACAGTTATAACTTATATAACTTTGACCAACTTATATATTTAAAATTGACATCAATTTATATTTCAAGTACTGCTAATCCAACCTTTCCTTCCAAATAGTTCACTTATCATTTTATGTACCAGTGAACTGTACAGTCCTGTCAATGGAAAAAATATGGTCCAGTTCAAAAGCTTATTTATGTGTTAGATTTTATAGTTACTTTTGAAATTCTAAAACTGCCTGAGATTCAGTGAATCTGAATTGCGCTATAGGAAGAAAGGATGTTAACCTTCGCTTTCTGTTTTCGTACTTACTGATTGAACACAGAAGTTGCACTAACAGTGCTTATAAGAACAAAATCAGACCTCAAGATCTTAAAAACAACAAAAATCTAGCAGCACAGGTTAGAATGGAGACATAAAGGGTACCCTGTGTTTGAATAGAAATGTGTATGGAAAAGACTTTTTAGTTGACTATGAATCTTTTTTGACTCAATAGATGACTTGGCTGTCGGAATACCTAAAGTGATCTTAATATGCCCCTATATGAACAGCAAATATGGAATTTATATGCCCCTACATGAACAGCAAATATGAAATAGGCATTTCAGCTATGACTTCTTACCACTCACACCCAATTAGTCACTAAGTCCCACTGTTTCTTTCTTGTTGGTATTTTTAAATCTTTTCATTTTCCTCCTTCTGGTCTTGATTCTATGCCTCACATCTACCCTCTATAAACAAAAGTCAGCATACTACAGTTTGAGAGCCACATTGGGTCTGCTGCCTTTTTTTTTTTATGACCCATAAACTAAGTTTCTACATTTCCAAATGGTTGCAAAAGTGTAAAAGAGTGATATTTCATGACATGTAAAAATTCTATAAACCTGAAATTTTCAAGTCTAGAAGTAAAGCTTTGTTGTGTTGTTTATGGCTGCTTTCTCCTGCTATAGCAACAGCACTGAGTAGTTGTGAAAGAGACTCCATGGCCTGCAAAGCCAATAATATTTGCTATTGGGTCTGCTCTCTATAGCAAAGGTTTGTTGAGCCCTGTTCTGCATTACTGCTAGAGTGTTCATTTAGAAATGCACAATTGGTAATATCATACACGTGCACCCCCGCAACCCTGGCACTAGCTTAAAATTCTTCAGTGGCTCCTTATTGCGTATAGGAAAAAAAATCCGTACTCCTTATCGTGATATCCAGAACTCTTTACAACCCGGCCCAAACCTGTTCTTTCTAGCCTCACTCCTCACCACTTCATTCTTCTCCACCCTACCAAGTTCTCCATGTTATTAACACAGATTATTCTTTTAACAGCCAGTGCTGTTTCAAGCTTTGGAGTCTTTCTAAATACCATGTGCTCTGTCTATTCTTTCCCACATTCTCTATCTATGAATCCCTATTCAGACATCCAGATCTGGCCTTAATATTTCTTCTCCAGGGGCATTCTTTAGACAGAGGCTGCCCCCTTCTGTAACTCCATGGCATTTGGGACCATTAGCACTTATCACATGATACTGTAATGATAACTCTTTGTGAGCTTCTTGGGGATAAAGACTGTGTCTTTACCTTTTTGTTTCTGTAGTATCCACTGTGGTATCTTGTACATAATAGATAATACTTTTCAATGAATAAATTAATGATTATGACTGTGATTGTATATGTGATATATAACATTTTAAACATCCCTAGATATATAATTTGATCTCTCTCTCTTTTATATATATAATGTCAGAAAATGTACCTTGTGATGGAGCTTTGTGAGGATGGAGAACTCAAAGAAATTCTGGATAGGAAAGGGCGTTTCTCAGAGAATGAGACAAGGTGGATCATTCAAAGTCTCGCATCAGCTATAGCATATCTTCACAATAATGGTAAGAAGAGGGTTATCCAGCTCATTGACCCCATGAATACTGATGTCACTTTTGTTTAAGGGTAATTGTATTCCAGATTCATAGGCATAAATAACACCTGCTAATATTGAAGATTTAATTTTTTAGTTAAAAAATTGTTTCCTTTTTAACTTTCTTTCTAGATATGTTTTAATTAGAAACAAGGCAGGTATACAATACATTTTATATGAACGAAGATGAAATTATGAACATTTTTTATTCAACAGTTTGAAGAGCAGCTAATGTTACAAAATCAAAGGTAGACAAATCAGTGGTAAAGGTGAAGTTCCCAAAAACATCTGTTAATCATAACATTAGAATCTGTATGTTCTAGGCATTTTTTTTTGTCTTTTTAGACTTTATTTTAGAGCAGTTTTAGATTCACAGTAAAACTGAGCAGAAGGTAGAGAGATTTTCTATATACTCCCCTGCTCCCACACATGCACAACCTGCCCACTATCAGAATTCCCCACTAGAGTGATATATTGCATTGACATATCATTGTCACCCGAAGTGAGCTTATATTAGGATTCACTCTTGGGGTTTTGACAAATGCGTAATGTCATTTATCCACCATTATAGCATCATACAGAGTGGTTTCATGGTACCTTAAAAACTCCGTTTAAAAATGATTCGAATTGCCTTACTGTTCTTAGGTGTTACTGCTGCTGCTCCTCCCCCTGTTTTTTTCCCTTCAAGGTTAGTTTGGCTTACATGTGACTTTAGAACCTTCTCATTTTACAGATGAACAAAAACTTTGTTCCAGAGAAGTGCAGTAACATGGTTTGGTGTGCCAGAGCTGGTACTGGAACCCAGGGGTTCATTCAGCAGATAGTTCCCAAGCACCTCCTGCACTGAGATTGGTCCTGGATTACAAAGATTAAAAGACAAGGCCCCTGCCCTCCAAGGAACTTGGGCTGGTGGGAGATTGAGTATTGAAAACAAGTTGTAATTCAGTGTGATAATCTCCCCAATGGAAAGCCATATAAAGCACAAGGATTACAGGAGTCTAGGTACCTCATTTGGCTTGGAAAGTCAGGAAAGAATTCACTGAAGGAGCAGTATTTGATCTGAGGAATACAAACTCAGAAAAAAATAAAAAAGGCAGGCCTTCCAGGCAGAGGGAAATGATTTTTTCAAGGGCTTAATATTAGGCTATTGTCAGTCCTTCCCTATTAAGCTATAAATTCAGTATAATTCCAAACAAAATCTTAGCAACATTTCTCATGGAACTTGATAAGATTATTCTCAAATGGGTAAAAAGTAGCCAACAATGAGAAAGAAAAACAATGGAGGCAGCAGGGAGATCTGCCCTGGCAAGGATAAAGGCATAATGATATGTTTGTTAAAGCTGTGTGGTATTTATGTAAAAAGAGACAAGAAGAGCAATGGAAACAATAAAAATTCCAAAAACAAAGCCCAGGAATTGTGTAGGGGAGCTGTGAATGACTAGGTGTAATTGCCAGTTCAGGACTCATTCAATACATTCCCCTGGCAATTATGTGTATAACTTTTTTTTTTTTTTTTTTTGAGACAGAGTCTTGCTCTGTCACCCAGACTGGAGCACAGTGACATGATCTTGGCTCACTGCATTCTGTGCCTCCCAGGCTCACGCTCTTCTCCTGCCTCAGCCTCCTGAGTAGCTGGGACTACAGGTGCCTGCCACCATGCCTGGCTAATTTTTTGTACTTTTAGTAGAGATGGGGTTTCACCATGTTAACCAGGATGGTCTCAATCTCCTGACCTCGTGATCCATCTGCCTCGGCCTCCCAAAGTGCTGGGATTACAAGCGTGAGCCACCGCGCCTGGCCATGTATAACTTTTTAAGTCTAGGGAAATGACTGCAATGGATATGAACTGAATTAATTATTTTCAAAGGAAGTGTTTGGTATGTGGTTATTTGTATGTACATAAAAATTGTACCTGAGCTCTGACATGTTCAACTGGAGATTTTGTGTCTCAAGGGTTTTTGTTTGTTTGGTTTTTATTTTACTACATAAAGAGTAGGAAAATGTGTGTTGATGTTGTAGAAAAATATACTGAAATAAGTATAGTTTGTATATATGTAGCCAAGTTACAGTGTGTTAAAATGTTTATGCTGACAGTAACATATGCTTAGAAGTAAAGAAGTAATCCTCTATTTGAAGACCTAAGGATGTGGGAAACCTGACTGGGTTTGTGACTAAGATGATCTCCCTCCTCCTGGGAATACTTAAGCCTGGGTAGGATCCTCCTTCACAGTCCCCAGGCCACTCATCTTGAGGAGCAGCCAGTTGGGGCCACAGGGAAATAGGTAGAGGTGAGGGAGTCAAAGAAAATGGTTCCTTAAGGTTAGAAATGTGGAGGAAGGGTTTATAAATAAGAGAATAGAACAGGACAGACTATGCTTGGCCCTCGGGTTTTTTACCAGTGGATATTAATTTGTCAAATATATTTATTCTATATGTGTCTCTCCTGTTTTTCCGTTATTTCATTTGATTTGTGGTTTATTTTCTTGGTAGATATTGTACATAGAGATCTGAAACTGGAAAATATAATGGTTAAAAGCAGCCTTACTGATGATAACAATGAAATAAACTTAAACATAAAGGTAAGATTAGCAATGGTGGTAAATATTTGCCTATAAACAGTTTGATAGCAAAGTGGCAAAGTACATCCTCTTTTTAGATGCATTTTGCTAGCTTTTGAGCAGCCAGAAAATAAGTGGTTTGTGTTAAAAAATAAAAATTTCACAAGAGGTTGTAACTGACAAGAATAATTTTGCAAGTTAAATGGAGTTATTGAATGTGTTTTTAAAGTACGTATTCATTTGAATAATTCTAAGTCATTAGTTAATAGCAAGCAAACAGATACTCTGAATTCTAATTAATTTCAAAATTATGCCTGGTAATTTGATGTAAATGTGTTACAGATTTAGAGAAAAGCACACCTTGCCTATGCTTTTAATACTAAATTAATTCTAAAGTCTGTATTTCTTATTGAAAATTTTCCTGTGTATTAATATTTATGTCCTCAGTACAATTAATGTGCCAAGTGTTTATTCTTGAAGATTTTATTCAAATTAAGTGTTCCCTAATGTCAAATAAATGCTAGGATACATTATTTAGCACCATTATAGTGGCTGCTTTCAAAATGTATAAATGTGTTAATTTAGGAATAAAATGTTATCTGTGAGTAACTCACTCTGTTGCAGAAGCTAAGTCCTATGTAATAGAAATAGGTTTAACAGCATTGTTGGTTTACCCAAGTATGTTCTTGAACAGTTCCATTGTAAACTCTATGAAGGCAGGGATTGCGCATGTCTTATTCACTTAGTACCTGAAGTAGTGCCTGGAACATAGTATGTGTTCACTTAACATTTGGTGAATGAAGGAGTAGATGCTCTCCAAATAACTAAGTTGGATTGTGAAACCTTTTGTATATTTCGTGTGTCTGGATGGATTTTCTGTAGAGAAAGATAGGTATCATATGCTCCAAATGAGATGTATATGAAAACTAATGGAGAAATTGATTCATCTATTTAGAAAAATAGTGATATCACATGTAAACAGGAGCATTTTCTTACTCCATAAGGCACTGGAAACTTTGCATTCATTGTCTCTGGACAAAATGCCTATATTTGGTTACTTAATAAACGTGTCTGTTTTTCTGCTTTCAGTCTAAGGGTGTTCCAACTTGGGAGATAACTCCAAAGGCACATACTGAATATTTAATAACTAAATGTTTAATGACCAAGATGTAGAACTGAGCATAAGGCCTACAGTTGTAGCACGAGGCCACCAGTGTATTTGTAGTTAATACTTTGTTGTTGTGGTTTTCTTTCCTGTTAATATGCTTGTCGTAGTTTTTAATAGTGTAGTAATTGTTTTAATTAGTATACTCTAGAAACACAAAGGAAAAATAGTAAAGAAAAGATAGTGTTTACCAATTATAAATAATTATAAAAAAGGGGAGTTTCAGTGAGTGCTGATAGGGATAATTATTTGCATTATGTAACAGTGCTTTAAACTGGAATATAACTTGATTATCAGAAACATAGATAATATGTTAAAGCCAGAATGTATTTTACAATGAAAGAACTTTAAAAAACAAAGCAAAACCTTTTTTATATGAAAAAAGTTAAATGCTTCAAAATACAACTTCCCATGTTAGACTGGTAAATTTAATCAGACAGCAAGAACTGTTAAATCACGGTATTCTCTCAAGATCTGAGAATGCAAGCTTCTCTTTACCCAGTTTCTTCTCTATACAGAGAGGTGGGTGGGGAAGGAAAAGCAAAATTTTTATTAATCATTCAATTAAAGTCCTCCCACCCCCAAGAACCCCAGAATTCAATGCAAGTTCAATGTGAAGTCTTATCTTCAGAATGAGTGAGCTCTAGGACAGGAAAACAGGTGACTGTGCTTGAATTTCTTCTCCTAGGTGACTGATTTTGGCTTAGCGGTGAAGAAGCAAAGTAGGAGTGAAGCCATGCTGCAGGCCACATGTGGGACTCCTATCTATATGGGTAAGTTAGTAGACTTAAAATGAATTTTTGTTTTGAGACAGGATCATGATCTGTTGCCCAGGCTGGAGTGCAGTGGTATGATCTTGGCTCACTGCAACCTTGACCTGGGCTCAGGCCATCCTCCCACCTCAGCCTCTCAAGTAGCTAGGACCACAGGTGTATGCCACCATACCTGGCTAGTTATTATTTTTGTTTTTAAGAGAGAGTAGCCTCACCGGTCTCAAACTCCTGGACTTATGCCCAGGATGGTCTCAAACTCCTGGACTCATGCGATCCCTCCAGCCTCTGCTTTCCCAAGTGTTGGGATTACAGGTGTGAGATACTGCACCAGACTTGATTCTTTTATATGTAAAAAAGTAGAACAACCAGTATGGATTACAGCTTGAACAATTTGATTTTGCCATCATGATATAATGACCCATGATTTAGGCTACTTTTTCTTTTCTTGGGTCAAGCAATTTCACTTGTTTTAGTATTTTACTTATAGTTCCTATCTGTAAAAATTTTAAAAATTTTTGTTGTTTCTCTGGGCTCTTCTTAAAGTTGTTTATATCTCTTAGATAATCATACCTCAAACTTAATTATTACTTTTGTTAACTCATGTTAAAATCATGTACATGTTTTGCTTCTTTGCTTTTTTTTTTTTTTGTTTGTTTCGAAACAGAGTCTTGCTCTGTTGCCCAGGCTGGAGTGTGGTGGTGCAGTTTGGGCTCACTGCAACCTCCACCTCCTGGGTTGAAGCAATTCTCGTGCCCCAGCCTCCAGAGTAGCTGGGATTACAGGCACCTGCCACCATGCCTGGCTAATTTTTGTATTTTTAGTAGAGACAGTTTTTGCCATGTTGGCAAGGCTGGTCTCAAACTCCTGACTTCAAGTGATTTGCCTGCCTTGGCCTCCCAGTGTTGAGATTACAGGCGTAAGCCACCATGCCCAGCCCTCTTTGCATTTTTTTATCCAGTTTAATCGCCATCAAACAGTTTTTCATGGAGTACTGATTAAATATATTTTGTAAAGAAAGCAGCAGTTTCCTGTTTTTCTAAATGTGAGTTTTAACAGCTTTATTGAAGTTTAATTTAAATACCATAAAATATATTTGTGCATCCTTTACAATGTAAGATATGTTTTTGTTTTACAATAAAAATACAGTGATTTTTCATACATCCACAGAGTTGTGCAACCATCACCACAATCCAGTTTCAAAACAAATCTACTCCAAAAAGTTCCCTCAGCCTGTTTATACTCAATCTTATTCCTATCCCAGCCCCAGATAGCCACTAATCACTCTAGATTTGCCTTTTTGTCTCTGTAAATGTGCCTTTTTTTTTTTTTTGGCCTTTTCTGGACATTTCATATAAATGGAATCATACAACATGTGGTCTTTTACATTTGGCTTGCTTTCACTTGGCATATGTTTTTGAGGTACGTTCATGTTGTGGCACGTATCTGTAGTCTGCTCCTATATATTGCTGAATAGTTGTCCATTGCATGGATATAACACAGTTCGTTTATCTGCTTAGCAGCTGACGCACATGTGGATTTTTACCAGTTTGTGGCTATTATGAATAATGCTGCTATGAACATTCATGTACAGGTCTTTGTGAGGATATGTGGTTTCATTTAGAAGTGTTTTTAGAATTAGCTACCTAAGAGTGAAATTGTTAGATCATATGTTAAGTTTATGTTTAACTTTTTATGAAATTGCCAAACTCTTTTACAGAATGACCATTACCTTCCCACCAGCAATTTGTGAGGGTTCCAGTTTCTCCATATCTTCGACAATTCTTGATATTACCTATTTTTAAATTATACCATTCTAGTCCCTAGGACTAGTATCTTAGGAAGTGGTATCTTATTGTAGGAAGTGGTATCTTATTGTGATTTTTAATTTGCATTTTCCTAATGATTAATGACATTGAGCATCTTTCATGTGCTTACTAGTCATTCATATATCTTTTCTGGTGAAGTGTCTATTTTAATCTGTACCTATTGAGATAATCATATTTTTCTCTTTAAATTTATTAATGAAGTAATTACAGTAATAGATTTTAGAATGCTGAACCATCCTTGCACATTTAAATTCAACCTCACATGGTTTAATATACTACAGTATTCAACTTTGTCACCACTTTTATTTAGGAACTTTGACTGTAGCTTTTCTTCTTTTGTGCTTCCTTTGTCTTTTCTGATGTTAGGGTTATGCTGACCTCATTTAAAAAATAATTTTTTAACTTCTTATATGATTATGAACTTTTTAAATTATTATACTTTAAGTTCTGGGATACATATGCAGAACGTGAAGGTTTGTTACATAGGTATACATGTGCCATGGTGGTTTGCTGCACCCATCAACCCATCATCTACATTAGGTATTTCTCCTAATGCTATCCCTCCTCTAGCCCCCAACCCCCACACAGTCCCCAGTGTGTGATGTTCCCCTCCCTGTGTCCATGTGTTCTCATTGTTCAGCTCCCACTTATGAGTGAGAACATGCAGTGTTTGGTTTTCTGTTCCTGTGTTCACTTTGCTGAGAATGATGGTTTTCAGCTTCATCCATGTCCCTGCAAAGGACATGAACTCTTCCTTTTTTATGGCTGCATAGTATTCCATGGTGTATATGTGCCACATTTTCTTTATCCAGTCTGTCATTGATGGGCATTTGAGTTGGTTCCAAGTCTTTGCTATTGTGAACCATGCCACAGTAAACATAAGTGTGCATATGTCTTTATAGCAGAATGATTTATAATCCTTTGGGTATATACCCAGTAATGGGATTGCTGGGTCAAATGATATTTCTGGTTCTAGATCCTTGAGGAATCGCCACACTGTCTTCCACAATGGTTGAACTAATTTACACTCCTGCCAACAGTGTAAAAGCATTTCTATTTCTCCACATCCTCTCCAGCATCTGTTGTTTCCTGACTTTTTAATGAATGCCATTCTTACTGGTATGAGATGGTATCTCATTATGGTTATGATTTGCATTTCTCTAATGACCAGTGATGATGAGCATTTTTTTTCACGTTTGTTGGCTGCATAAATGTCTTCTTTTGAAAAGTGTCTGTTCATATCCTTTGCTCACTTTTTGATGGGGTTGTTCTTTTCTTGTAAATTTAAGTTCTTTGTAGATTCTGGATATTAGCCCTTTGTTAGATGGATAGATTGCAAAAATTTTCTCCCATTCTGTGGGTTGCCTGTTCACTCTAATGATAGTTTCTTTGTGCAGAAGCTCTTTAGTTTAATAGATCCCATTTGTCAAATTTGGCTTTTGTTGCCATTGCTTTTGGTGTTTTAGTCATGAAGTCTTTGCCCATGCCTATGTCCTGAATGGTGTTGCCTAGGTTTTCTTCCAGGGTTTTTATGGTTTTAGGTCTTACGTTTAAGTCTTTAATCCATCTTGAGTTAATTTTTGTGTAAGGTGTAAGGAAGGAGTCCATTTTCAGTGTTCTGCATATGGCTAGCTAGTTTTCCCAACACCATTTATTAAATAGGGAATCCTTTTCTCATTGTTTGTTTCTGTCAGGTTTGTCAAAGATCAGATGGTTGTAGATGTGTGGGGTTATTTCTGAGGCCTCTGTTCGTTCCTTTGGTCTATATATCTGTTTTGGTACCAGTACCATGCTCTTTTGGTTACTGTAGACTTGTAGTATAGTTTGAAGTCAGGTAGCATGATGCCTCCAGCTTTGCAGAACTGAAGGAGATAGGGACAGGAAAAATCCTTCATACAATCAATGAATCCAGGAGCTGGTTTATTGAAAAGATTAACAAAATAGATAGGCTGCTAGCCAGACTAATAAAGAAAAAAGAGAGAAGAATCAAATAGACACAATAAAAAATGATAAAGGGGATATCAGCACTGATCCCACAGAAATACAAACTACCATCAGAGAATACTATAAATACCTCTACACAAATAAACTAGAAAATCTAAAAGAAATGGATAAATTTCTGGACACATACGCCCTCCCAAGACTAAACCAGGAAGAAGTCGAATCCTTGAATAGACCAATAACAAATTCTGAAATTGAGGCAATAATTAATAGCCTACCAACCAAAAAAAGCCCAGGACCAGACAGATTCACAGCCGAATTCTACCAGAGGTACAAAGAGGAGCTGGTACCATTCCTTCTGAAACTATTCCAAACAATAGAAAAAGAGAGAATCCTCCCTAACTCATTTTATGAGGCCAACATTGTCCTGATACCAAAACCTGACAGAGACACAACAAAAAAAGAAAATTTCAGCCCAGTATCCCTGATGAACAGTGATGCGAAAATCCTCAATAAAATACTGGCAAAGTGAATCTAGCAGTACATCAAAAAGCTTATCCACCACAATCAAGTCAGCTTCAACCCTGGGATGCAAGGCTGGTTCAACATACACAAATCAGTAAACGTAATCCATCACATAAATAGAAGCAATGACAAAAACCACATGATTATCTCAATAGATGCAGAAAAGGCCTTCAATAAAATTCAGCACCCCTTCATGCTAAAAACTCTCAATAAACTAGGTATTGATGGAACGTATCTCAAAAGTGCTATTTATGACACACCCACAGCCAATATCACACTGAATGGGCAAAGGCTGGAAGCATTCCCTTTGAAAACCTGCACAAGACAGGGATGCCCTCTCTCACCACTCCTATTCAACATAGTATTGGAAGTTCTGGCCAGGGCAGTCAGGCAAGAGAAATAAATAAAGGGTATTCAAATAGGAAGAGAGGAAGTCAAATTGTCCCTGTTTGCAGATGACGTGATTGTATATTTAGAAAACCCCATCGTCTAAGCCCCACATCTCCTTAAGCTGATAAGCAACTTCAGCAAAGTCTCAGGATACAAAATCAATGTGCAAAAATGACAAGCATTCCTATATACCAATAATAGACAATCAGGGAGCCAAATCATGAGTGAACTCCCATTCACAATTGCTACAAAGAGAATCAAATATCTAGGAATCCAACTTACAAGGGATGTAAAGGACCTCTTCAAGGAGAACTACAAACCACTGCTCAACAAAATAAAAGAAGACACAAACAAAAGGAAGAACATTCCATGCTCATGGATAGGAAGAATCAATATTGTGAAAATGGCCATACTGTCCAAAGTAATTTATAGATTCCATGCTATCCCCATCAAGCTACCATTGGCTTTCTTCACAGAATTAGAAAAAACTACTTTAAATTTCATATGGAACCATAAAATGAACCTTTTAGATACTAAAAATTATCTAATAACAGTTTGAAATTTCCTCTTAAATTTTTTGGTTCTGCTACTTTTGGGGGGATAAAGTTTCTATTATATTTTCAATTTATACTAAATTACCCAAGTTTTCTACATTTTCTTGAATCATTTTGATAATTTATGTTTTTCTAGAAAATTGTTTCTTTTATTGAGATTTTAAGTTTCACTGGCATAAATATGCATATTATGTTTACTTATAATTTTCATATTCTCTTGTGTACCTGCAGTTATATCCTCCTATAACTTCAATATGCACATATTATAAGCTTTTATCACAGTTTCTATATATGTAAATATAATAGGAATTATGTCACTCATTTCTAAAAAATTTTTTGAGGACCTACTTCGTGTCAGACATTGTTCTAGGTATTAAAAATATAACAGTGAATAAAACATAAAAATGTTTTGCCTTCATAGAACTTAACATTCTTGTGGCACAAACATTAAACAAGATTTTTATAAATCTGATGTTTTAGAGCAAAGTGCTGAGTACAAAAAAAATAGGAAGGGTGATAGGAAGTGTTTAGATGACAATAATTTTTTTTATCAGGTTGACATGATAAGTAAATGAGAAAATATATGTAAAGTGCTTAGCAGCGTCTAGCACTTAGGCCTGAATTTTAGCTCTTTATAATAATACTAATAATTTTATCTAAATCAAATTTGTTAGTGGTTAGGACAGTTAGTAAATAGTAAGTAGAGCTCCCAATGGGCTTTTCAAGAACCAGCTCATATCTAATTGTTATTTGGTTTGCTTTTTCATTAATTTCTGCTTTTACTTTTCTGAATTCCTTCTTTGTGCTTTATTTTGGTTTGTTTGTTTATTTTATTTTATTTTTTTGAGACAGGGCCTCCCTCTGTTGCTTAGGCTGGAGTGCAATGCTGCAGTCACGGCTTATTGCAGCCTCAGCCTCCTAGGTTCAAGCGTTCCTCCCACCTCAGCCTCCCCAGGAGCCAGGAGCACAGGCATGTGCCACCATTCCCAGATAACTTTTTTCTTTTTAATTTTTAGCAGAGACAAGGTCTCACTATGTTGCCCCAGCTGATCTCAAACTCCTGGATTCAAGCGATCCTCCTGCGTTGGCCTGCCAAAGTGCTGGGATTATAGACATGAGCCACTGTGGCTGGTGGTTTGTTTTTTATTATAACTTCCTAAGTTGAATACATACTTATTATCAGGCTTATTTTCTATGAAATTCATTGAAGACTGTATATTTTCCTCTGAGTACCTTGACTTTTTGTTTTTTGTCATACAGTGTTGTGTGATTCATCTCTTGATATACTATAATTTTAATTTTAGTCTTCTTTAATTGAAAAATTATTTAGAAGTGTTTTTAGAATTTTTACAGGTGGTTGAGATGTGTTTGAAACTCATGAGAATGCATGTTAGTTGTCCTAGCCTTTTGGTTTATCTGTCTGGTTTTCTTTATTGTGGTAGGTGACTGTGTCTTAAAGGTTTTCAACTTCTAGAAATTTTCTTTGTGACCAAACACATGATCAGCTTTTGCAAATGATGCATTGGATATTTTAAAAATATGTATGTATACCTGGTTTGTTGAGCATAAAAATTTCTCTGTGTGCTTATTAAATCAAATGTGATTTTTTTTGTGATTCAGATCTTCCATATTGTTGGTGTATCTTTGCTTGCCACTTCTGTTGATCGCTAACAGAGTCATTCACCAAGATAGGTCTTTGACACATTGTTTTTGTACTTTGAGTAGATTTTTAAAAATCAACTTTTTAGGAATATAATTTACTCGCAATAAGATGCACAAATTTTAAGTTTTGAATCACTACCCCATCATGTTCAAGTCATAGAACATTTCTGCCACCCCAGAAAGTTCCTTTGTGTCCCTTTCAGTCAATCCCCCACCCATAACCACTGATGATTTCTATTGCCACAGCTCAGTTTTGCATATCTAGAAGTTTATCTAAATTGAATCATACAGTACATACTCTTTTGTGTTTGTCTTCTTCTTTTGTCGTACGCCATGATTTTGAGACTTATCCATATTGTTTTATCAGTAGTTTATTCATTTTTATTACTGAAGAGTATACCTAATTCATTGCTTTTTTTGTCTGCTAGATGCATAAAGTTTTGAAATTGTTTTATCTTATTTGGGAAAAGGCTACTTTAGATTCTGTTCATATCCCCCTGTTGGCAAAAGACATCTGGTCTGTAGTTACATGGGGAAAATATATTCAAGCACCCTGAGTTTTATGCCTCCTTATTAGTTGTCTACACTGATAACAAGTGAGAGAACAAGAGAGCAGACAGATGGTTTGCGGAGCTTTGCTGACTTCCTAAATGGCTTCTTGGCAGTTACTCTGGCTTCTGCATCCCTATGAGGGCTGGGATGATGGTGCAAATTGAAATGCCCCTGATAATTAAGATGACTCTGAAGGAGCCAGGAATTCCTGTCCCCTGCTGTGTGCTGCACCAGTGTGGAAATCCTTCATTGAATCTAGTCACAGAATTTGCCCTTGTCATACATGTGTGGCCATAGAGCAACTGGAACTTTAAAAATTCTATATTTAAAGATTTTAAGTAGAGTTAATGACTACAAATAGCAGCTTAAAGGAAAATATTAGTTAATTTTCAATTATTTGGAGACAGATTGCTCAGTGTTAGTCATCTGTACCTTCTTTCTTCTGTTTAATCTTTTGACCCCTTTTTGTTGCCTTTCATTTCTTTAACACTAGGCAGAGGAAAAAGGAGAAAATGAAATTCCATTTGTTTTAGTAGTTATCAAAAAGTGTGTGTGTGTGTGTGTGTGTGTGTGTGTGTGTGTATGTAGGTGGGAAAGATTGAAACTTTTCTAAAATAAAAACGCACCTTTTGCATAGGAGGCACTCTGCAGCTGTGTAACTTTAGGCAAGTCACTTAATATATCGGAAACTTAGTTTCCTCACTGGCAAAGGGAGTCAAATGCTTACATACCTATCTCACAGAATTCTTAACATACTTTATACAAGTAACAACTTATGCAAAAGTACTTTATAAATTTTAAAGTTCTGTTGAAATATGTACATATATTTTATTTTTCTGCTTATAATTACTTTCTTTTTATTTTTTCTTAAAGATATCTGATTCCTAGCTGTAGAGGTACAATAGACATGTTCCTGCAATGTCATTTGTGACTTTTTAAAAAGGCAGCCAGCTGAGTGTAGTGTCTCATGCCAGTAATCCCAGCTATTCAGGAGGCTGAGATGGGAGGATCACTTAAGGCCAGGAGTTTGAGACCAGCCTGAGCAACACAGCAAGACCCCATCTCTAAAATAATTTTTAAAAAACAATTAGCCAGGCATGATGGTATGCACCTGTAGTTCTAGCTACTCAGGAGGCTGAGGCGGGAGGATACCTTGAACCTAATAGTTTGAGGCTGCCGTGAACTATGATCATGCCACTGCACTCCAGCCTGGACAATAGAGTGAGACCCTGTCTCAAAAAATGTATATATATATGTGTGTGTATATATACACACACATGCACACACACACACATTTAGTATAGTCTATGACTTGTGACTAGTTGGCTTTTTGATCCAGTTTTATAGGAGCTCTGTCTTTGTCTTGGCTTTCTTAATTGAAAATGCAGAAAATAGTTCATATTCTGTTATAGGAGTGATGCTATTATTATTTTACTAAAGTGATTTATAACCAGGTACCTTAGTTTTTCTGTGAATCCAGATTTCCACATATTGGGCTTGCATTATGTTACATCTACTTAAGGCATATATTTAATTCTATTTTGTGGAAAGGGCTGGGATATTGTTGTCTTCTACTATAACTACACAATCTTTGCAAAATCATTTCTTAACAATTTAAAGAAATAAAGGGTAGTGCATTTAGTTATACAGTTTACACCATTGTTCCATTAGAAGCTAAATGATAGGAGTGAGGATACAGTGACATCAATTGTTAAGGCCTGTGCATTATTCATTTAACATCTGCTGTTGGTTTTCTTTTCCCTATGGGAGAATAAATTACAGCACATCAGCACATTTTTCATGCTTTGTGTTTAAGCATTTAAAAGACATTTATTGTATTATTAATATTATTTTATTTCTGCTTGCTTGGCAGCCCCTGAAGTTATCAATGCCCACGACTATAGCCAGCAGTGTGACATTTGGAGCATAGGTGTCATAATGTACATGTTGTAAGTAGCCTGCTAAATGTACACTTTAAGATGAGTGGATAGTTTCTAACAGTAGAATGATATAGACTTTAAATTAAAACTAATATATATTTTTAAAAAGTGATTTAAAAACCAATTGGGAGATAATTCTAAAAGTTCTCTTATTAGTTGTCAGGTATACATCCCTTAGGTATTTTTTAATACTGTAAATTTATAACTTTCAGCTTTGGTTTTCATTGATCTATAAATGCAACAATATGATCTGAGCAAAATGAAAAATCTTAACACCTCCCGTATCCCTTGCTACAAACCAAAAGCTTCATGAAGTTCACTTATAGCTTATCAGGTGTAGGCAAGTACTATGGCCTGGCACTGGTTCTGCCCATACAGGCAGAGCATAGGTGGGAGTGGGTACTAACTAGGCAGAGGGTCACTCAGGATCTAGGGGAGTATTCTACAGTTCCTAGTTCCCTTAATGCTGCTGTAGCCTTCAGTCATTCTTGTTCTTCCTTCTCTTTCATTCTCAAGATTCAGTCAAACTCCATGTCCTGCTCATTTTTCCTTTGAAATATCCTTACCTATTCTTTGATTTCTCTTCACCTGTATCTTTTCTCCTTATGATTCCTTTTCTAGACTATTGCAGGGTCTTTCTGACTGTTCTCCCTGCTTCTGGTCACCCTCCCCGGTCTGTCCTTCATGTTGCTGCCAGGGGTGTCCTTTCAAATCACAAATCTGATCATACTGCTTCCCTGATTAAAAGCCTTTGATATATATATACATACATATATATATATTTGTATACAGATAAGTATCAGAGCATCCTGGCATGGCATGGCATGGCATGGCATAGCAGGTCTTTCATGACCTGACTCCAGCATGCCTTTCCAGTTTGGGGCTAGATATGTATTCCTGTGTACCTACACTGTGCTGTGATGATTCCAGGTCACATTTCAATACTCAGACACACCCTGTGTCGCTTGCCTCTGGGGTGTGTATGGGTATGTGTGTATTCTTTTTCTTTACAAGCTTCTTTCCTGGGTGGACTCAGCTCAAACATTAAAGCCTTCTATTTCTCTACTCCTACTTTACCCCACCATAGCAGAGTTCCTACATTTATTATGTATATACTTTCTCATGCTCCACAAAAGATTTTAAGGTAGCATGCAAAACAGTAATGTTGAAAGAAAAAATAATAAAATAGGAACATTTAACCAGGAAGGTTTGCACATGTGTAAATCCGATAGAATTCATTGTTCCCTTTTATGTAGTCTCATAAAGCTTTTAAAAACTATATTATAATATTATATATATAGTATCTGTTTTCCTTGTTCCAAATTCCATGGAGGACAGAGACCTTAGATTATTCATCTTTGCATTCCTGGTATGTGGTATAAGAGACATACATTCAGTGCTCAGTATGTTTGTTAAATTGAATTAAAGTGAATTTTCTAAGAGGTGTTCTGAAAAGTTAGTGACCATTGTTCTGCCTCTTGGTGAATGTGAACATTTTTATGTTGATGCAACATTAGTTTTATGGTCATATTGAAGATTTCACTATGCACTACCTCTTCCAGATCATTTCTAAATATTGACATCACAGTAGTTACATTTTCACAGGTCTGTGAAATGGAATACACAGGCAGTAGAAATTGGATGATGTGATTGTAGCTGTAACTCAGCTGGTCAACACACATCGTTGCTTAGATTACATAAAGTATAAAAGTATTCAAAAAGTTTTTGATCATTTTGTGCTGATTAAAATCATGGTGCAAAAATTCTGAGCCTTAGTCTTTAATTAAAATATAGCTTTTAAATTAATCTTTATACTCTTAAGGCTTTATCGAAAGCATGAGTCAAACATCCTACATATAATCTAATATTATGCAATTCATATAGTGTTTGCTGCCTTCTTAGTTTGAACTTGGTGTTAAGGAAAGTGAATGTATTATATCTTAACTATCTTTCTCTTTCTTAGAAATATAATTTTAATTTTTCTGCTTCAGAGTGTGACTGCATATCATCATAATGACGTTGTCTTTTCTTTACAGTAGACTCTTACTTAGCTAATCAGTGCCTATTCATTAATCTGTCTGAGCCCAATGGTGTTATAATTTCCTTCACCAAGAGCACAAACATATTACCTTCTCCAGGGGGTTTATTTGCTTGTTTTTCAGTGACCTCTGATTCATTTCTATTTAATCAGATAGTGCTAACATACTTTCTCAAGGTGAAATTAGCATAAGTAAATATTCTTTGTAGTTACTGTCCTCTGCTGTTTTGATTTCTATGAATGCAACAAAATAGTAGGAAGACTTTAAGAGACATTTTTCATTTCTTGGATTCCCTTTTCTGGATGTGGAGGAAATTGCTGTCATAAAATTTTGTATGCTGCTGATTAACCAACCGTTAGATACATTTTTATGTAAGTAAAATTGCAAAGAACAGAAAAAAAGTGAACTTTTTAAGATGTAGCCCTTAAGCTATAGTTGCATGCTAGTCAGGTAATGTAGAGGCAGCTAAGTAATTGGTGGATGTGCATATCACTGGTTGATAACAGGCTCAATGAAGTAGGCCTTTGCTGGCCTGCACTATTATATAGTAATTGTCCAGTAGGCCATTTTTCTGGCTATTTTGTTTTCCATAGCTTTTTAATTGCATTTTAAAACTAAATATCTAGGCGAATAGGATGAGACAGAGGAAATCAGAATGAGCTAGAGAGATAAAAAGTATTAAAATAAGAGTTTGCAGAACAATATGATACTGATAAATACTTAGTAAGAACCTATTGATAAATGAAAAAGCTCTATTGTCCGGTCTAGTTTGATAAACCACTAGGATGAAAGCAACTTTTCTCCCCACAAAAGTCATCATAATCATCATTATTACTATGAAAAAATCAAATTTTGACTTATTCAGAAAATGTTCATGAGTTAGATTTTTAAATAATTAAAAATATAAAGAAAATTAGTAAAAATGTAACTGTTAAAAGACATAGAGATTAGTATACTTATGTACAGTGTAGACCAGCAGTTTGGGAAGTATAATGAACTTACACCATTTTATTCTTTCATTAATGAAGTATAAAAATATATTCCTGAGAGTTGAAGAATAGACAGAGTTGCCCCTGTGGTGAATCTAATTTCATCTGTTTGGTTGTCTTTGGACAAATCTGGTTGTTGTCTTAGGATTGCCCTCAGGTGTTGGAGTTGACAGTAATGAGGATGGCTGACATTTGTTGATATTGTATTATGAAGAATTGAAGTCAGCTTTTAAGCTTGTTCTTGTAGTTTTGACCTAGATCACTTATTGAAGTAATAGCTTTATAGGCTTGCCATGTTCTGTTAAGAGTCTAAAGATACATTGTTTCTGTATTACAGGCCCATGTTTACTTTATACACACTGCTCATGGTTTTACTGATGTTGGTCATTATGTGTACTCAGCTTTCACCCTTTCAGGCCGAAGGGTCAAATTATTGTCTGATTTTTCCACATTCAGACCCTTTTCATTTCATATACAATTTTTGAAGAGTTGTGTCAATTTTAATGGCTTTTTGGCTTTGACTCAGATCCTGTAGAAATTCCCAGGGTTAGGGCTGGGCACATTTGTGCACGCCTATAATCCCAGCATTTTGGGAGGCCAAGGCAGGTAGATCACTTGAGGTCAGAAGTTCGAGGCCAGCCTGGTCAACATGGTGAAACCCTAGCTCTACTAAAAATACAAAAATTAGCCGGGCGTGGTGGTGCATGCCTGTAATCCCTGCTACTCAGGAGGCTGAGGCAAGAGAATGACTTGAATCCAGGAGGTGGAGGTTGCAGTGAGCCGACATCGTACCACTGCACTCCAGCCTGGGAGACAGAGTAAGACTCCATCTCAAAAAATAAAAAGAAATTCCCAGGGTTAGTCTTGGTTTATTTTTATTATTGCTAACATTTGTATAGTATTTTACTATGGATAAAAGCCTTAGCTGGTCATTAGACTTTGGTAACTAATTAGACCCTGATAACTCACTGTATTTTTCAGTTGAGTCAATTTGCATTATGTACCTTAAGGTATTACCTTCCTGTTGCTCACTCTCAAAGTGTATCTCCTTCATTAGCTACGACTATTATTGTACACTTACACTCACCTTCCCATATTTTAGCCCCAGTTAAGCTTAGTGTTTTCCCACCTGCAAGAGCTTTGGGTCATTGCTAATCTGGAGGTTTTAGTGTATATTTGCATACTTCCTCTACCAGATCCTTTCTCTAAATATTGAAATAAGAGCCTAGCACTGATCTTGGAAAACCTTGTTGCTTCCATTTTTACTTCCAGGCAGGTACCCATCTCTTCCCATCCTTTCCTTAAATATGAAGCAGCACTACTTCCAAGTCCTATGGAAACTTAATTTTAATAGCCTTATTTTTGTTATTTAAAAATTTAAACAAAGTGATTGCTTTTGTTGCAGATTTTGTGGAGAACCACCCTTTTTGGCAAGCTCAGAAGAGAAGCTTTTTGAATTAATAAGAAAAGGAGAACTACATTTTGAAAATCCAGTCTGGAATTCCATAAGTGATTGTGGTAAGTATAAGTGTGTTATTATTTGCTAAAGCTAATATAAGTAACATAGGAAAGTTGGCCAGTGGTTAAAATGTTTTAAATCTCTGTTTCGTCATTAAATTTACTTGTGGAAATGAACACTGTTTACTTGTGGAAATAGAAATATCTTCACTGTGATTGTTCATCATCAAAACTTTCAAAAACAGAAAATACGTAATAAAAGTTAAAGAGGAAATTTGCTGATCATCTAGCTAATGTTTACTATAGACCATTAAACTAGGTAATCCAGGCAATAAAACTTCACTTTAGGCTTTAAATTTTATTTATTAGGCATTTATACTGATGATTTTTATTGTATACTTGACATCTTTCTTTCCTGTTATACAGACCTAATCCTAAAAAATTGTAAAATGTGTGCTATTAATTGTAGTTAAAATAAATAAGATTTTTCAGGATTTTTTTCTTATTTTTAGCTAAAAGTGTTTTGAAACAACTTATGAAAGTAGATCCTGCTCACAGAATCACAGCTAAGGAACTACTAGATAACCAGTGGTTAACAGTAAGTTACAATATTACTTCTTTCTTTCTGACACGCTACCATTGCTCATTTCTTTTTATTTTGTCTTGGAGTTTTCTGTATAATCTTAAAACAGTCAGTTAGTTTGATTTTCTGTCAAATTAAAAAACATTGAGTCTTGACAAATTTCTGAAAATGGGCATTTTCAAACTGTTAGAACTGTTGTCACAGTTGTTTATATATATTTATAGAGGTTTAAATGATCTTTGTTCAGTGTCGTGAAAGTATCATGTCCATTAGAACAGAGCTGAAAAATGTCCAATATTATAGCTCTGGAAAGTTGAAACAGTCTGTATAGTTCAGTGATGTAAAACACTGGAACCACTCACCTCTCTTTCAACTCTTGGGGTGTAGAAAATCTTTAGGGACTCAGAAAAGCCATAATCTCCAAACAGTGGCAGTCTCCTGGTTTGGAATTTTATTTATTTACATATTGCTTTCTGCCGTTAGACTAAATTCTTCAAGCACAGACTTTGTGTCTTACTGATCTTCGCATCCCTGCATCCAAACATTACCTGGTCACAAGAGGAACCTTGGAAAAGGCTACTGCTTATCCCTCAATATTTATTCTTCTCCTTCTATAATAATAAGGATCCTGACTTTTGGTTGGAAACATTGCTGTCCAGTTAAAAGACTCTTCCCCAGTGTTCTTTGCTAGTTATCGTGATGGTCAGTGAGATGCAAGTGGAAGTGGGTGCAATTTCTGGAAAGTGTCCTTAAATGGAGCTGGTGTGGCATTTCTCATGTACTTCCTCTTTCCTGGTAGATGCAGATGTGAGTTTGAGTAGCCATATTAGATTATAAAGTGGAATCTGGAAATGGCAGAGCAACAAGATGCAAGAAACCATAATAGTAGCTCACAGAGCTGCCATGTCAACCCTTCACTGCCTACCTCCAGAATTTATGAATGGGAAACAGACTTCTGTCATCTTTAAAATACCCTATAGTGTGCAGCTGGACCTAATTTCGATTAATACAATCCTCAAACAATTGCTGAATGAGTGAATGATTCAGTAAGTGGATAGGTCTGTAGATACCTCAGAAATTTTTCTGTGAACTGAGATTAGAAATTATTAGAGCCATATGGGAATATTACTAGAGAGTATTCATCTATTAAAAATTGTAGATCTATTATTTGCTAGATACTATGTTAGGTATTGGGGATACATGATATAATTACATTTAAAATGTAAATTAGCATATGATAATTTTTTTTTTTTTTGGGGATGGAGTCTCACTCTGTCGTCGGGCTGGAGTGCAGTAGCACAATCTCGGCTCCTGGGTTCAAGCGATTCTCCTGCCTCAGCCTCCTTAGTAGCTGGGCACTAAGGAGGCACGTACCTCCTAAAGGCACCTACCACCACACCCAGCACATTTTTGCATTTTTTGTTTTGTATATTTTGTATTTTTGTAGACACGGGGTTTCACCATGTTGGCCAGGATGGTCTCAATCTCTTGGCCTTGTGATCTGCCCAGCTCGGACTCCCAAAGTGTTGGGATTACAGGCGTGAGCCACCATGCCCGGCCGATAATCTTTGTAGGGACATGGATGCAGCTGGAAACCATCATTCTTAGCAAACCATCACAAGAACAGAAAACCAAACACCGCATGTTCTCACTCATAGGTGGGAACTGAACAATGAGATCACTTGGACTCAGGAAGGGGAGCATCACACACCGGGGCCTATCATGGGGAGGGGGGAGGGGGGAGGGATTGCACTGGGAGTTATACCTGATGTAAATGACGAGTTGATGGGTGCAGCACACCAACATGGCACAAGTATACATATGTAACGAACCTGCACGTTATGCACATGTACCCTACAACTTAAAGTATAATAATAATAAATAAATTTAAAAAAAAAAAAAGATCATTCTGACTATTTGGGTGGGGAATGGCTTGGAAATAGGGAATTAGACAGATGTTGAAGTAGTACTGTTGAGAGATAATAGTGACTTGGATAGGATAGAGATGAAGAGAAAAACGTGAGTTATATTTTAGAGGCATAATTGATAGGATTTGATGATGGATTAGATGAAGAATGAGGATAAGAGAGGAGATAAGGATGACATCTAGATTTTATTCAAATAACTGGTTCGATGTTGGTGCCATTTACTGAGATATGGAAGACTGTAGGAGAAATAGATTTCTTTCTGGGACAGGGATGGTGAATCAAGAGTTCTGTATTAGATAGGATCAGTTTGCAATGCTTATGTGGCATCCAAGTGGCGATACCAAACAGATAATTGAATATATGAGTTTGAAACTGGAAAGATTTAAGATGGAGATATAAATTTGAGAATCATGAGTATACAAATACCACATAAAGCCATTGGACTGAAGAGATAAATAAGGAAGAAAATACAGATAGAGAGAAGAGGCCCCAGCAACATGTCTTTAGGCACTAAAACATTAAGAACCTCAGATAAGTTTAGATATATAAATATATAGTGATATCACCCTCCTTTTAAATTACCTAATTTTCCTTTGGCAATTTCTAATCATTGCTTTAAATAACTTTTTTTTTTCTTTAAGGGCTAAAAATAGTCTTCATCCAAGAATGAATTCTATTTGCCCTCTTCTATGAATGTGTTGCTCTCTCAAAGGATTCTGTGCAATAATTATTTCTGGCCTAAAGTAATTGTGCAAATGAGTTAGCAGCTAGATCACTGCAAAACTATATTGAGTAGGTTTGTAGTACAGCAAAATAAACTGTAAAACAGATGGTGTGCCTTAGAAATTTATCTCTTTTCAGCATCACATAACATTCGGGTTGGGCCATTTAATTATTTGTTTTCTAATTAGCACAACTTTATTTCTGGCTTTGGTCATTTTTCTAGTAGTCTCCATTTTTGAGCCTCTGTAACATTTGTCTCTATGAAGTCTTTGCCAAATGGATAGAGAAGTGACAGATATTGTGTGCTATATCGGATTGTCCTAAGGAATTCAGTGGATGAAATTTAGAATACTGGCATTTTACAAACTTCTAAAAGGCAAAACTCTTCTTAACCACTTGAAGTCTTACTTTCTATGACTCATATCCTCTGTTTGAAGTAATCTAAGGAAAACATGATAGTTCTCTCAGCGCCCTGCTGCTTTATAACCAGAGCTTACCTTCTGCAATACCTAACACATAGTAACATTTTTCTATAAAAAGTTTCTATGGTTTAGCCTATGTACTGTGCATTTTGAAATATGGTAATTATCTGAAAAGTATTCTAAGAAAAATAACTATTTCTCTTGTACATTTAAGGGAATGTAATTTCAAATAAACACATACATATTGTCATCCTGATTTTAAAAGTCAGAGGTTAGATGTAAGGAAAAATACCCAAGAAATGACTTTCTTGCAAAGAAAGAGTTTGACTCTAATGGCCGGGAATATGCCGGTTCTTTTCTTTCATTCATTTCTTCCTTGTTTCCTTTTACTGGCAACTGTGGTTCAGGAGTTAATTGCTTCTTATTAGGTAATTGCCTTGGTATTCCTTCAAAGTCTCCTGGTGACAAATAACACCAAGAATTTACATTTTAAACAAGTTTCCCAGGTATTTCTTCTGCCCACTTATGTTTAAAAGCCACTGCTATAAATTAAGGAAGCCACTTTTTTTTTTTATGTCTTGCCAAAATGTAGTTTGAGCTTTAATGGTATTCAAACATTAATTCCTTCAACACATTGTGTGTGCACGCACGGGTGCGCCTACCAGGTACCAAGTGTAGGTATAAAATATAGTTAAAGCCACATAAGACATGGTCTCTGACATAAGGAACTTACAATTTAGTAAGGAAAACAGCCTATGTATAAGATTCAATGCAAGGAAGAAAATGATAAATGACATAAGAAATTACAAAATGACCAGAGGTATGGAGGCAAGCAAGCGTGAAGTCAGAAAGTTTAATTTGACTGGCAGATAAGAAGCTTGAAGGAAAGAAGTGAGAAATGAGACCAGAAAAGGACAGAAAATTGTGAGACTAAGAAAGAAAAGAAAATCATGAGTGGACTTGAATCCAGGTTACAATTTTAACTTCATTTCATAGGTAGTAAAGAACAGTTGTATGCTCTTTGAAATGAAAGAAATTATTAATATCGTTAAAGTGCATCAGTCTTGCCAGGTGGCTTATTTTAAATAGGACCTCAATCACCCAAATGTCTATATTGATTGTAGCAAGTATCATTTTATTTAATCCATCAGGTACTAGAGAGGTACAAAGATGAATAAAACAGTTCCTCTCCTTGAGTAATTAATTTACCACAAGTAAGTCTGTACTTTGCTTTGTAGTCACAACCTTGCAAAAGCACTTTGTAATCAAGGTGTAGGGACTAATTTCAGAACAGTCTTTCCTAATGTATGAACAGGGCCTTTGTTCATTAATTTACGTATTGTTATTCGGGTTTTGATCATTAGCTTTTGACCTCTAGCTTTAACATATATACTCTATATAAGAGGATGGAAATTTTCTGATACCTAACTAATTGTTGGCTGTTATTTTTTCCTTCTGTATATTTTCATCCTAAATATGTTAACTCTTACTTTATTTTACTGTATGTAGTTATTCATACATTCTGAATTAATCTTAGATATGTGAATACATTTTTGAGTCTCTAATGAAGCTTTCCATAAAAATTACGTTAAGGAGGCCAGGCATGGTGGCTCACGTTTGTAATACCAGCACTTTGGGAGGCCGAGGTGGGTGGATCACAAGGTCAGGAGTTTGAGATCGGCCTGGCCAATATGGTAAACCCCATCTCTACTAAAAATACAAAAATTAGCCTGGCATGGTAGTGGGTGCCTCTAGTACCAGCTACTTGGGAGGCTAAGGCAGGAGAATCGCTTGAACCCAGGAGGTGGAGGTTGCAGTGAGCCAAGATCGTACCACTGCACTCCACCCTGGGTGACAGAGCAAGATTCCATCTAAAAGAAAGAAAGAAAAAAAAAATTTATGTTAAGGAAAAGCTCATGAGCCAGGACACTTGGGGATTTAC